AAAAAAATATGATTTAGTGTAACGAGGGGCAAAATGAGACACTTAAGCGCTAATATATCTAATACGGCTCGTCTAACAACTTTTGAAAAAATAAATTGATATTTTTCAATTCTTCTACGATCCTACTTGAAGCCTAAAAAGTATGAGTTGCAAAACTGCAGTAGTTTGGTCACCAGAGATCATTTATTGACAGCACCTATCCTGTCTCATTTTGCCCCGCATACCGGGGCAAAATGAGACAGATTTTTTTTTTTAGTAATTTAAATAAATAAAGTTAAAAAAAACATATCTTTAAAAGGATTAGCAAGAAATACATTTTGTAATATATTACAGTTATAATCAAACTGTCACTAGTCACATAAATCACATATTGCTTAACCAGTATTTTGAAACAATTAACAGTCCGAATGAGCCCAGGTTGTGCATTTTGGAAAGGAAAAGGCCTAAAGATTCTAATTAAAAAAAAACTTCAAATATAAAAAGCTTTTCCACTCAGTGAGATCAAAAAAGGCTAGGAAAAAATATAATAACAACTCTTAAAAATTCGTAATTTTCGCGAAGCCGAGGGATGAAATGACTCCCCTTTTACTCAACTTTTTTATTTCAAAGTGACTCAATATATTTTTTTGACACAAAATAGTTTTTGAACACAACTGCACTTTTAAAAATCTTGCAAATAATAATTTGTAGGGCTGGCATTATGTTAAACGCGAACTGTCTCGTATTGCCCCGCATTACCCTAATAACTAGTCTTTATATTCAAAACTTGTAAACAAAACTAAAGTGTGTGTGTGTATGTGTGTATATATATATATATATATATATATATATATATATATATATATATATATATATATATATATATATATATATACTATATATATATATATATATATATATATATATATATATATATATATATATATATATATATATATATATATATATATATATATATATATATATATATATATATATATATATTTTAAAAAAAGATATATATATATATTAAATATATATATATTTAAATTTATATATATTAAATATATATATATATATATATATATATATATATATATATATATATATATAAATATATATATATATATATATATATATATATATATATATATATATATATATATATATATATATATATAATTATATATATATATATAAAAAAAAGTATACACAGTATAACAGTAAAAGATAAAAGAATATAAATGAACAAATAACACAAGTCTTTTCTTTGACTGCAAATATATAAACTTGATTTTTACTAGTGTAAAATAAACTCTTTTTAGAATAGAAAAAACGAAAAACATTTTTGATTGAAATTAAAAATGATTTTTTAGATTTTCTTTTAGTCTATATATATACAGTTTCATGTTTTTGTGTAATCCTTTCTTAGATTGTTCTCCTGTTTTTTTTTTTTTGTTTTTTTTTGCTTTATGCTTATTAACAATGTCCTTAGCAAACGAATGACATTGAACTTGAAATATAAAACTAGCATTAAAAGAAAAGTAGATTTTTGATCTTTTTTAATTTTCAAATCACATTTTTTATTAATAGCCATGCAATATTTTTTTTTTTTTTTTTTTTTTTAGGTTATTTAGGTGCTACCAGAAGTCCTTACGGTTTTATCACGAAGCACCGCGGAAGAGCATTTAGCTAGAGGTTTACGCCTCCTTCCTTACCAATGTCGCTTATTGGGCTGGAACCGGCGTTGAACCTCGGACCTCTGGGTTCTGAGCCAGAACTCTTACCACTGCGTCACGGCTGCTCAATATTCATCTAAATCTTTATCACAGAGTGTTTTTTTAATCAAAAAGTCTATTTCTATATTTTTTAGTAAGCTTGGACTGTTCTGTATATAAAAGAAATTTTTTTTCTACTATAATTACAATTTGTTCAAAACTTAATTGTAATGCCAGTAAATCCAAAACAATTAAGAGTGTTGACACAAATATTTTGTATTTAAAAGTTTAATACTATAATATATATGCCGCATGGATTACTACTAATTGTTAATAATTAAGAGAACGTTTTTAAGCAAAGTCATCCGAAATAACTTTCTTATTTTTTTCTTTTTACCTTGTAAATTGGATGTTAAATAAATAAAATAATAATAATAATTAAGTTACTAGAAGTGTTAGTAATTAAATTTAAAAGTAAATAAATTTACTGTTAGTTCAAACCCTTAATATGTTTTACTTTGCGCAAATACAATACTGTTTAATCAACCTTAAGGTGGTAGACCACTATTAAAAATCAAAAAATCCTTTTTTTCAATTATAATTTTTTTAAGTAATACAGCTATCGTTAATTACAAATTTCTAGTTAGTTTTATGAAAAAAAATAGCTGACACCATTAATAACTATTTTTTAATAAAGCGGTATAAATAAATTTTTTTATTTTTCCATAGCAACGCTTTGTTTATTTCGTTGCTATACAACTAAAAAGTAAATTGTATCATAATTATAGTATATATTTTTAATATAAAATACCAGATGTCGTGATTGCAAGTCTGAAACAACTTTTTGTTTATTGATTTATACTTTTGGTGCATTTAGCTACATGAGTTTTATTGAAATTTCCAACTATAGTTGCCGTTTTCTGTATTACTCGACGTTTATCCTATCACTTTGATTAAATAATATTAGTAATGGAAAGTAATGGAAAAAAAAAAAGAAAAAATAAATAAAACAAGGCATAGTAAAATACTTATTTAAACTTTTTAAAGAAAACCAAAATCAATCAACAAAATTGGGATAATAGCAGGATAGCTCAGATGGTAAGAGCGTCAAAGGAAAAGTTAAAATCAGGACTGTCGAACGATACGAGTTCAAATCCCGCCACCGTAAACTCAGCGCTTGAGTAGTACTTCGATACGCAAAAATGTTGGTCAATAACGGACGCTACTTTGGATTAGTCTTAATGCCTAATCCAAAAAACATTGTATAGAAAAATATAGCATGAAAACCCAAATAAATAAAATAAAAATAAATAAATAAACAATGCAGCTGAAGAAGTTGTATATAATTTGCATGAACTAAAATTTGAATGTAGCATGACAAAAAAATTTTAAATGGACATGTGTACATTCAGATCCAGCAGTAAATAATCTGAAATACTTTTAAATAATAGTTTTGTAAATAAAAATAATAGTTCTGCTAATTATGATCAGTTCAAATGACTGCTTAATGTTACAAATGACATATTAATGAACACCAACATATGAGATGGAATAATGGCTGCCATTGTTTGCCAAACTTCCTAAAATGTAAGTTTTAAATTATAAACTTTTATGATGCTCGAAACAATATGGCTTATAAAATTGTCTCTTAATTTTATTCAGAAGTTTTATTCTACCAAAATTATAAACAAACCAACATCAATGAACTTTTAATGTTTATTTATGTACAATTATAACAGTTACATAGCTGAAGCTAGCATGAATGCCGTAGCGAAGAAGCTCTGAAAATAAAACTATAATAAGAAAACAGTAGTTAAAGAGGATATTTCTAATAGTGCATCATAGTTTTAGTTTATATTTATATATTTTTATTTTTTTATATATTTAGTTTATATATATACTTGATATTTATTTACTATAATAACTATTGGCATAAAACTGATAGGAGTTTTTATTTGAAACTAAATTACGAATCAAAAGTGAGACTTTGTTTTTAATGAAATCTAACTTTGAAAGGAATAATGTCTGTTAATAAACCCTGTCTTTTAAAACAATTTTTTTATAATTTTCTCTACTTTTACTCCACAACACTTTTAATATAAGTTGATATTTGTCAATAGGCTTTTTACGTAGGTTTTTAATATTTGTTTGAAAAATTTTAAACTTTTTTTTGTTTAAATGCGTTTTTTTCAGATCTCTAAAATTCATGACTTTGCGGTAAATATCTCAAGATTTTCTTAATCAATTTCCATAAAATTTCCAGAAGTTATTCTTTTTGTTGTTATGGATGTCCCCTACTACATTAATGACAATACGATAATCCAATTCAAAGATATTAAAGCCCAAATATGGTCAAAAACGCTTTATTTTTTGATCGGCAAGTGTTTTTCTTATAAAAAAAAGTTTGTTTAGTAAATTTTCTTGATTTTGGTACAGGATCTTCTCAATTGTATTAAAAGTAAATTTAGAAAATTTCAAGTTAATAGCTTCAATAGTTTTTGAGATAATCACCGTAACGAAATGATGATATTTTTGGGTTTCAGGGCCAAAATCATTTTTAAAATCAAAAAAAGTTTTGACTTTTTTTATTTTATTTTATCATTCAAGAGTAAATTTTAGTCAATTTAGATAAATTTCTTAAAGAATTTTTTTCTGCGATTTCTCACTGAGATTTAATAATATGCATGACAAATTATTTCACACAATGATTTTTCTTATCTCTAAATACTCTAAAATAATTTGTACTAATTTTTTGTTTTAAAAACGTAGATGTAATTGAAACATCACACAACCTTGATGTCACCGAAATTATATTATTTATATTTTATTTTCAATATTTAAATGCTCAGAGTCCTGGTAACAAAGAGATTTAAAGCAAATAAATTATCAATAAATTTCTCTTGATAATATATAGTTTTCAAGATTAGACAACTAAAATTTTTCCAATTTTGTCCACCTACTGGCCCACTGTGCATATGGAAGATTTAAAGATGTTCTTACTTGTCAAATATGTTTTATCACCATATGGAAGATTTAAAGATGTACTTGTAAAACATGTTTTATGTATATTGTTTATTTTTCATTAGTTTTTCTCGTTTAACATTTTTGATAAGCCTTTCCTACCAAACAGTTTTCGATAAATCAACATGAAAAGCATCAGCAAAAAATATCGATTAAAATAATTAAATTTACAAATAAAAATAATCAACAAATTAACACAAAAATATTAGAACAAATATTAAACAAAATTATCAAACTTTTTTTTTAAATAAATTGGAAATATTCTTAAAGTATATAATAGTCTAAATAAAAGTCTCAATTTTAATCTATAAAAATATAACATTATAATAAAAAAATAGCGACATAAAATTTCTACATATCTTTATTTACATTATTTAAAACTATTGTCTTTATCATCGATGAAGTAAAGCCGATCTTCCTTAATTGTTTCCAAAGCTTCATCAAACATTTGATATAAATGGGCATTCTTTGTTTCACGATCTTTTATGTCTCCATTGATTGATGCAAAGTAATCATGCTCCATGCGAAGTATTAAGTCTTCGGTATCTTTACTTTCAGTACTTTCCTCGCGTTCTCTGAATGCAAAATAAAATATGCTGAAAATTTTTTATTTTAAGAGAGATATTGTGAGTATGCATTAAATGCAAAATTAGTGTTTTGTAATTAGACTCATAATTGGGCAAGTATATATCCGATCCGAATAAAATATATTTTACATGAAAGATTAGGCCCCAGGCTGTAAATATCAGTTTAATTTTAACTGCAGAAGTGTAAAGATTTACATTACTTTTATCGAAAGACAACAGCAGTTAAGACGAGTATTAAAGGAAATGTACAGGGTTAGGGTTAGGGTTGACAATGCTCTTTCAGACAAACATGCAGAAGGTTTCAACGATTAAAGAGTGGTAATTTTGATCTCAAAGATGAAGAACATCCTAGTGCTGAGAAGAAGTTTGAAGATACCAAATTGTAGGTATTACTTTATGAAGATCCATGACAAACACTGGAAGAGCTTGCAAAAACATTTGGAGTCGATTAATCAACAGTTTCTAGTCGCTAGAAACAACTGAGAATGATTCAAAAGCAAAGAAATCGGGTGACGTATGAGTTAAAACCTACGGACATCGAAAGACAATTTTTTACCTGCAAACAGTTGGTCGCGCAAATAATAAAGAAGAGGTTTTCTACATTCTGCACTATTGATGATGAAAAAATTGTTACATTACGACAACCCTAAATTCAGAAAAGCATTGGTCAAGCTCGTCAAGCCATTAATATTAACAGCAAAACCGAATATTCATGGTTCCAAGCTTATATTCTGTATCTAGTGGGACCAGTTCAGAGTAATATATTGTAAACTGCTTAAACCGAACGAGACAATTACAGCAGACCGTTACCAACGAAAATTAATCAAAGTGAAGCAACCATTAAAAGATTAAAGGCCGCAATACACCGAAAGACATGACAAGGTTATTGTTCAACATGACAACGCACGACCCCATGTTGTAAATATTGTAAAAAACTACTTGGAGAACCTCAAATGGGAAGTCCTGCCTTATTCGCCGAATTCACCAGGCATTGCCCCCTCCGATTACTATTTGTTCCGGTCGATGACATATGGTCTGGTTAAGCAGCGATATTCTTTTTATGATGATACCAAAAATGGCGCGATTACTGAACTGGCTGAAAAGATCAAGACTTTTTAAGCGTGAAATCTGCATGCTACTGAAAGATGGTTAAAAGTCGTAGGCGCCGATAAACAGTATTTTGAATGATCTGAGTCTGATAGTCTTCTCAAAACAATTTTATTATATATATATATATATATATATATATACATATATATATATATACATATATATACATACATATATATATATATATATATATATATATATATATATATATATATATATATACATATATATATATATATATATATATATATATATATATATATATATATATATATATATATATATATATATATATATATATATATATATATATATATATATATATATATATATACATACACACACAGATATATATTATCATAGACGTTTTTAACGCATGTATGTATATTAAAACTATGAAATACTTTTAAAAAACAAAAACACTAAATGTAGTACTTTTCTTGCTGTGAACGAGATCTCTCCTTTAGTCTCATTTCTTTATGACGTGTTTCTAGTATTTTTTCACGCTTTGTTTCACGCTCAAACATCTAGATAAAAAAAATTAAACATTATTTGTACGCTACAGACAAACCAAAAAACAAATATTTTTTATTTTTTGTAACAATTTTTTAAATAACTATTAGGAACACTGTTTAGCGAGCTTTACAAATTAAAATATTTTAAATTATAAGGTTAGCTTAACAATTTAAAAAAAGTTAATTTATGATAAAAAATAATCAGATACATACTGCTCCCATAGCATTTTTTTCATGACGTAGCAAAGTATAGAGACTTTCAGAAAGTTCTAGTAAAGTAGTCGTTCCTTCGTGAGACCCAACTGTTACAAACCTTCCCTGATCGTGAATGCAAAGGGAATATAACGCTTCTTCACAAACCTAAAAATTATTCAAATGAGAAAACATAACCTAAAATTCAACTACATTGTCAATTTAATTTTTAAGTTTTATAAGTTAAATAATGTGCTTAGAAGAAATTGCATTACCTGTATAGATAGGGTTGGATCGGTTTGCTTAAAAAGATAATCCCAAATATCTAATGATCCATCCATTTTAGTCGCAAAAAATACTGCAGGTCGAACAGGACTCCAACATGCATCTGTTAAACTTGACATATGCTGTCTTCAATTCATGCATAAAAACATCTGTTATTAAAATGTTATTTTAAAATCAGATATTTTACAAAATATTTTTTTTTTTACGGCGTGGCCAAATAGAAAAAAAATTTAAATTAAATTTAGGTTGATCTATTCTTTATACATTATCTATTAATTATACACATTTCTTTATAAATTCTTTTTTGTCGATATGTTAATTAATGAAAACTCAATTAAAATAATGGAGATAATAGACTCAAAGTAATTAGTAAAAATTCAATTAAAATAATGGAGATAATAGACTCAAAAGTAATTAGTGAAAACTAAATTCCAAAGATTTTTTTCATATATTTTTTATTTTTTAATTTCTTCTTTAAACGCAAATTCGAATAAAAACATTCAATAATTAATTTTTCATAATGAAGCAAATATTCAACTAAGACTATTAAAAAGTTATTTGTGTATCCAGGTAAAAACGATGAGAATGGACATCATATTTGTGTATCCAGGTAACAATGATAAGAATGCACATCATATTTGTGTATCCAGGTAACAACGATAAGAATGGACATATTTCAATCAAAATAAATATCCTATGATCAACCGGTAGCTATGCATAAAAAATTTTTTAAAAGCAAAATCATTTACAAGTATTGCGAAAGCCAAGAAGGTTGAAGTCAACAACTTCTAGCAAAGATAATATTGTAATGTAATCGCCAAAGAATTACACTAAAATGCCATAAAGAACTCACAAAACCACATCACATCACAACCTCATCACATCACAACCACATCACATCACAACTACATTATATCACAACCACATCCCATCACAGCCACATCACAATCACATCACAACCACATCGCATTACAACCTGTTTTATGCTACAGTAACGTATTGTTTATAACAAAGCAACCATTTTAAAGATCAAACTATTGTGACATGACAATACTTCTTGTGACATGACAAAATTACTTGTGACATGACAAAATTACTTGTGACATGACAAAACTACTTGTGACATGACAAAATTACTTGTGACATGACAAAACTACTTGTGACATGACAAAATTACTTGTGACATGAGTCCATTTAGTCTTTATTCATAAGTAATATTTATTTGTGAAAAGTTAAATTTATTTAATGAACTTTTGTGTTTAAGTTTGTGTGTTCAGTTCAGTTTTTTCTTTAAGAAAAACAAAGTTTATGATTAATGCCTTTCTTTCTAACAGAGCACATGTCCTCCTTGGTAATGTTGCATCCGATTGGAAACAGGTTACTAGTGGCGTTCCTCAAGGCTCAGTTCTTAGTCCAACACTATTTATAGTCTATATTAATGACTTACCAGAACACATTAGCAGCAAAAATAAATGCAAAATGTACGCAGATGATACAAAAGTCCTCAGTGTAGTTAACACTTTAGAAAGCAAACTTGGTCTGCAAGCTGACATTGATAATATTGTCAATTGGACCCAATTATGGCTCATGCAACTTAACATCAAAAAATGTAAAGTTATGCGAATCAACCAATCTAAATCTGTACCTCACATCTACTTCATCAATGAAAACGACTCCAATAGCAGATTTAAAAGAATCCAGCTAGAAACAACAACATTGGAAAAAGACATTGATGTTCAACAATCTGTTGATTTAAAGTACAAAAGTCAAGTGTTCACCGCTGCTGCTAAAGCTAACAAAATCTTAGGTATGTTGAAGCACACCTTTGTTAGCAAAGATGTAAAAGTCTGGAAAAACCTCTATACAACATACGTATGTCCACATCTAGAATATGCTATCACCACCTGGTGCCCACACCTTAAAAAAGACATTACTGAAATTGAACAAATACAACATCGTGCCACAAAAATACCTCATGAATTAAAGTACCTTGATTACAAGAAAAGATGTGATATACTTGGACTAACTTCACTAAGTGACAGAAGAAAACGTGGTGACCTTATCCAAAAATTCAAAATTGAAAATAAAACTGAATTAATCAACTGGCATATTGACCGAATATACATTCCTCCCATCTATGGTCATTGCAAATGCTTTCATCGGGAAATTAATAGCAACTGCCTTGTTTGACTTAACTTTTTCAACAATCTGGTTGCAAATACTTGAAATGCTCTGACGGATGAAGTTGCCAATGCCTCTAATATTGACAGTTTCAAAAAAAAACTAGACCAGCAACTCACATAGTTACCACAGTGCATTATTTTCTGTGGCTGTATTATCGCAGCTATACAAGCTAGCTTGCTAGCTAATGATGAACTTACGGTTCATATCTATACAGTATAACTTTAATTGTAATTTTTATAATTTTAAGGTTATGATTTTGATTTTAAGAAAGAAACATGAGAATTAATTAAATCTGTTGTCTAGGGGTTTAGGATTTAGATTGACCCTAAACCTCCTAGGTAAATAATTTTTTAAATTATTACCTTATTTAATATTGTTACAAGCAGTTTTTGGTATTATCACTTAAAGTTATTTGGTAACATCACTTGAAGTTATTTGGTACCATTACTTGAAGTTTTTAAGTAACATTACTTGCAGTCTTATGATAACTATAATTATTGTAATAAACTATTAATTAATAAAATTAAAAAAAAAAAAAATCACTTAGTCCACATGATTGAGGATTCACGAATTTCTTCAGACCATATCTAATATAAAAACAACAAAGAATATTTCATTTATTTGTTTGATATATACAAAAACACATCATATTAAAAATGTGTTTAAAAAAATAATAATAAAAAAACCATTATGATTTAAAAAGTAAGTACTAAATTAAAAAAAAGGTAGGGGGGATCACGGAAAAACTACATTAGGCATAATATCTACAAGCCTATGGTTAAACCTATTTGCTTTTTGTTCTAGCAGGTTTGTGGATGAAATAACAAGTTTTCTAGTAAGTTACTTAGACAGAGTAAAACCTTAAAATTAGATAAACTTTTGCTTAAACAAAATCTACATCAATACTGGTACTATTGATTATGACTTCAGATCAATAGTCAACAAAGATTGTTGAACTATGTCAGGGCTGGATTTACCTATAGGATAACTAGATTAAAAAAATAAAGAGGAAAGAGTGAAGAGGTGCTAAGTGAAAGTATATAAAAGATTAACCAGACGATTAAAACCTGAATTCTTGATAAGTAGATGTATTGATACATAAATATACACCCAAGCTAAGAATGTGACTATTAGAGTCTTTGTGAATCAAAGTATAGTATCCATCAACACTGAGATCTGAAGAAGGAACAGCTGAATTTAAATTAGGCTCACAAAGAGCAAGCAAGACTGGTGAGTAAAGTTTTTTTTTTTTTTTTAATTATTATTATTTTTTTATTTGCATTCACTCCCAACAAGGCTGCAAGCAACCACTATTAAGTTGGGAGTTACTAGGAAAAAAAAAGAACAGAGTTATAGAGCAAGGAAACGGTTGACTTGAAAAGTTGAAGGTTGTATGAGTCAGGAAAACATGAAGATGGGAGAGAGTTCCAAAAGATTGAAGTGCGGGGAAAAAAACTAGATGAATAAAAGTTTTTAGAGCATGCAGGGACAGATACAGTGAACGAATGAGACTTAGCTGAATGACGAGTAAAACGAGAATGAATTTTAGTTGATGGAACTAGAGATGATAACTCCTTTGAGCAGTGACCATGATAGTATCTGTAGAAAAGAGAAAGAGATGCAACTTTACGATGATGGGAAAGAGGTTCAAGCTCAGCAGATAGTCCAGGTCGATTTTGGAGCTTGTCAAGAAGAGAAAGTGAATCGTTAGAAGAACCAGCCCAAATATGACAACAGTATTCCATACAGGGACGAATAAGAGATTTGTAGAGGTAGAGAATGGAATCAGAAGTAAGGAAATGGCGAGCACGATAAAGAGACTTAGCAGAAGCTACTTTAGCAATCGATTGTATATATGGTTTCCATGAAAAGTCAGTAGTAAGCGATAATCCAAGAAGACCTAAAGAGGAGGACTCAGTAAGAGGATTGCCATTCATTAATATAGGAAAGTTGACCATATTACGGTAGTTGTTTGCAGTAAGCAATTGGGTTTTTTTAGAGTTGAAATTCGCAAGCCACTGTGAACCCCAATCTATTACTGAAGTGAGATCAGATTCAAGATCAGCTGCTTGTTCTAGGCGATCGAAAAGAGAAGACTTTTTGTCAAGACAGGAGTATAAAGTTGAGTCATCAGCAAAAAGAGCTACTTTAGATGAAAGGTTGTCAGGAAGATCGTTTATGTAGATAAGAAACAAAACAGGGCCCAGGATGGAAACTTGGGGAACCCCAGAAGTTACTGGAAATAAAGAAGAGTGTTGGCCTTCAAGGACAACTTTAATAAACCGGTTAGAAAGAAATGATTTGATAATCTCAAAAACTTTCCCAGAAACACCATATGAAGCAAGCTTATGGAGAAGACCAGCATGCCAAACTTTGTCGAAAGTTTTAGATATGTTGAGAGCAATAGCCCTAGCCTCACTGCCTCCATCTAATGCACGATAAAATCTTTCAGTTACAGCAGTTAGCAAGTCAGCCGTAGAGCGAGAGGATCGAAAACCGTATTGATTGTATGACAGCAGTTTATTTGACTCAAGATGAGATGTGAGGAATTTGTTGATCAAAGACTCAAAGACCTTGCTAATAACAGAAAGAAGACTGATTGGACGATAATTGGAGGGGTCAGAATTTTCTCCAGAGTTTTTGAATATTGGAACCACAGATGCCATTTTCCAACAAGCAAGAAAACAAGACTCAGTCAAACACTTGTTAAATAGTTTAGAGAGAATTGAAGAAAGTTCTGGAGAACAATTCTGCAAGACTGTGACAGGAATGTTGTCTGGACCACAAGCTGTAGACGAGTTTGATTGAGATATAACTTTAGCAACAGAAGCCGGAGTGATTTGAATGTCTAACAATGGGTCAACTTGTTTGACTGGAATGGAAGGAAGAGAATGTCCATAAGATTCAAGAGTGGAATTAGAAGAAAAGTTCTTTGCAAATAGTTCTGCCTTATCCTTGGGAGAGGTAATAAGATCAGTCCCATGAATGAGAGATGGAATGTTAGATCTACCCTTGTTAACAATGCTGTTGAAGATTTTCCAAAAGTCTTTAGAGCCTAACTTCTGCGATAAGATGCGAGATTTAGTGAACTGAGAATAATGGAACTTAGCATCAGAAAGCACCTTTTTACATCGATTTCTTGCAATAGATAGCTGTTTGTTCTCAAGAGAGTTGTTCTTTTGAAAAAGATGAAAAAAATGATTACGATTGGATATAGCAGCTGCACAAGAAGGAGAAAACCATGGAGTAGAATGAGGCTTGACTTGAAACCGACGCGAAGGAATAAAAGCTTCCATTCCAGCCTGAATCCAGGAGGTTACGTAGGAGGCGCATTTGTCAGCTGAGAGAGAAAAAACATCAGCCCAAGGACCATCACGAAGAAAATCACGAAAGGAATCCCAGTCAGCTTTAGGGTAGTAGTAGGTGGTGCAATGATAAGGTGAGCCCAAAAAAGAAGTACAAGAAGAAAGATTTATAGAGATCATTGCATGGTCAGAACCACCTAAGGGAGAAAAGGGAGAAACTGAACATAAGCTAGGGTCAGAGACAAGACATAAGTCAAGGAGTGAAGGTAAATGATTAGGGTTGTCAGGAAAACGAGTCACAAAGTTAACTATTTGAGTAAGAGATTGAGAAATGCAGAAGTTAAAGGTTTTAGTGCCAGCAGGATCAGTGGTGTTAGAGCCAAGCCATTCAGTGTGATGGGCATTAAAATCACCAACAATAACAATATTGGCAGAGCGGTAAAGAGAGAGGGCATGGTCAATTTGATCAGAGATAACATCTAAAAGAGTGCAATCATGGAAAGAAGGAGAACGATCGAAAAAAAGAACAAAGAGAAAGGTGATAGAGTGAAGAGGTGCTAGGCGAAAGCACATAAAAGAATAGTCAAAGGATTCGAACCTGATTTCACGTCAAATAGGGGAATTAATGCGTATGTATACCCCTAAACCTAGCATGTGACTATTGGAGTCTTTACGAATCAAAGGATAGTAGCCATCAACACTGACATCTGAAGAAGGAATTGCAGAATTTAAATTTGTTTCGCTGAGTGCAAGCAAGTCTGGTGAATTTTGCAGGAGGTAAGACTCAACTGATGGAAAGTTGCTTCGTAGACCGCGAATATTTGTAAAAGATATATCAAAATATTTAGGTGGTGGGGATGGTTTTTTAGGTTTTAAATTTTTGGTTACTTTGGTCATGATTTGGGTTTAATGAGAACTTGACTCATTCATAGATAGAGCACAGCCTCCTAATCAATGAGCTATGCAGTTGTCTTAGTCCTGTTAATTAACCCTAAGCTGTGACATAGGGCTCCTTATGTGGCCTTGACAATGCACACCAAAAGCATTAACAGGGACACCATCCATGCGCAACATGGCACTGTTAATACTCTGATATTTTGCAGCTGTTGATGGAATCAGCCTCTCTGAGAGCTACCACAGAGTTCGAGAAACCTTACTACCAGCCGGCCTCAGAACCATTTAACTGAGTTTTAGAGCTGTACCCTCATATGGAGATAACAGGAAGAGTTGCATAGCCATTATCAAGGAGGCATAAGCAAAATTCTATGAGTAGAGTCAAGGAGATCCAGCATTCATCATCCTAGGCAGAAAACAATGTAACACAGGTTACATCTACGCCAGCCTAATAGATGAAGAAGGGGTTCGAGGCTGGTTAGCAGAATTTTTCTAAAAGTCTTTGCCTAGGAGGCCTTCTACAAGACAGTAGCAGGATGCAGTTAACATCTGCCCAAGATGAGTATTTTTATCGAGATACCATCTCTAGCCTTTACTCAACCAAGAGCCCCAAGGCAGGGGAATTTTTAGTCGGAGTTTATTTCACCTAGCCTTTGCATAAGAAGTGCACACTCTGCAAGGCAGCAGGGCTTGTTGCAGGTAGTACAGGGTTACGTGATACCAGTAGCAAGTTTTAACTTATAAAAAGTTAATTTGAAGATCAGTGTTTTAGAAAACTATATTGAAACAGTTAGGTTATGTTTTTATGTTGAATATTTTAGGTTACGTTGGGCATAGTTCAAGTTTAATAACTTAAATCATTTGTAGATAGAGCACAGCATTCCAAGCAATGAACTATACAGTTGTTTCAGTCCTGTGTTAATGGAACCAGCCTCTCTAAAAGCACAGAGTTTGGAAAACCATACTATCAGCCGCCCTCAGAACCATTTAACTGAATTTTAGAGCTGCACTTTCTTTGGAGAAAATAAGAAGAGTTGCATAGCCACTATTAAGAATCAAAAATCTATATGTAAAGTCATAAAAATCCAGCATTAATCATTCTAGGCAAGAAACAATGTAACATAGGTTTACATCTAGGCCTAATAGATGAGGAGGTGCAAGGCTGGTCAACAGATTTATTAAGCTTACCCCTAAAATCTTTGTCAAGAAGACCTTCTACAATACAGTAACTGGATACAGTTAGCAGTTAGTATCTGCCCAAGATGAGTATTTTTATCGAGAAACTAACTCTACCATTTACTTCAACAAAGACCCCCAAAGGCATAGGAATTTTAAGATGAAGTTTATTTCTCCTAGCCTTTATCTAAAAAAGCAAAGCCTACATGGCAGGTGGGGCAGGTAGTACTGGATTACATGATACCAGTAGCAGAATGATCATGATGATCCTAAACCTGACCTGGAGTAGTTAAAATAAGTTACTTCCTGTAAACCTAACTTACAGAATATTAGAAATTAGATTATGCATTTATTTAGAAATTTTTTTATTATTATACTATATTATTTTTACATTATTAGAAAATTAATTATCTAGAAATTAGGTTATACATTAGGATTTATAGAAGGAGTCACTTGTTTGTAACTGAACTCATACTACATTAAAGATTGAACTAAAACAAAAACAAACATATAGTAACTTATGAGTGATTAAACACCACACCAGAGGTTTACACAGAACTCAAATATACATATAGTAACTTACAAGTGATTAATTACCACACCAGAGGTTTACACAGAACTCAAAAACAAACATATAGTAACTTACGAGTGATTAAACACTACACCAGAGGTTTACACAGAACTCAAAAACAAACATATAGTAACTTACGAGTGATTAAACACCACACCAGAGGTTTACACAGAACTCAAATATACATATAGTAACTTACGAGTGATTAAACACCACACCAGAGGTTTACACAGAACTCAAAAACAAACATATAGTAACTTACGAGTGATTAAACATCACACCAGAGGTTTACACAGAACTCAAATATACATATAGGAACTCATGAATGAATTAACACATAAATAATTATTTGTTATAATTATTATTTATTAAACTTAAACATTTAATAATTATTATTTATTATTTTAATTATATTAATTATTCTTAATTATATTAATTATATAATTTTTTATAATTATAAAAGTTATAAAATATTATATAATTTTTCTTTAAAATAATAATAAAATTTTTTTTAAAAAAAAACCTATTTAAAAACAATTCTTTTAACTATAAAAAAAATTTGTTTTAAAATTTCCTGAATCTTTTTTGTCTTATTGTTTTTAATCAAAATAAATTGTAGATTTTATAAAAAATTCAATCATTATGTAATATATTGTTTTATGTGATATATTTGCAATGTTGCAGCTTATACAATATTCTGGTAGCATTTTTTAAATGTTTAATTGTATTTTTAATGTTTAATTGTATTGGTTTATTATTAATTTATGTTTACAAATGTAAATAAATGTTTCTACACAATTAAATATGGTAAGTTTTTTCATAAAACAACAATGTAAATCCCAATGGAATCAGTGTATTCCTGCATTAACAAAAAATGTTTAAAAAAAAATATCCACTTGTTACAGATTATTTAATGCTCAACAGAATTCAATATAAAAATACATTGTTGGAGTGTATTAATTTATAATTTCTCTGTGTGCTTTAGTTTTCTTTGATATTCTATGCTATATTTATTTATTTTTGTTTTAATTTATGTTATTATTATATTTAATTATTATCTATGAAATGTACATAAAATTTATATTGTATTATAATAATTATTATTATTAATATTATTGATACTTTTTTATTATTTTAATTATAATTAAAACTACATTAAACTGAACTTTTCAATTAATTTGCTTACTTTTCAAATGATTTGTTGAATTTTTTTACCTATTTGTTAATTATTTGTTGATAATTTACATTTTTATTCGTATGCTATGTTTTACCAATAAACATAAATTATCTTAATATTACATTTAATATATGGAAACATAACTTTATATGAATCAATATCTTTTTTTTTTGAAAAAAAAACTATAAATTGTTACATTAAGATAGCAGTTTATGGACTTTTAAACTTAATTTTAATTATGCATACACATAAAAGCACAGAAGATAGCCTATGTATTGTTAAATTTGATTTTATTATATATACATATAAAAAGCACAAGGAAATAACTAAAGTAATAGTATTTTTAAAACAATAAAAAAAACTTCATAACTTTAGTTTTTAAAGGCAGTGTGTGTGTGTGTGTGTGTGTGTGTGTGTGTATTTTAAATGTGCATGCGTGTATGAATTTGAACTAAAGTAATTAAAAAAAACTAAATTATCAATCAACAGCATACAAAAAAAACTTACATGTATCTTTTTTTCTGAATATAAAAACTCACCCTTGCTGTCCAATCTCCTGCTGTTAAAAAATATTTTGGAAAAAATGGATTCCGCTAAATTAAAAAACAAACATAAAATGCTTTACAAATAAAATAATATTTAAATAATAAGTATAATCAATCAATTATCAATCAATCAATCATATATATATTCTGAAAAAATATTTTCAAGGCTATTCACAAATAGTATTAAAATACTAATCTCCAGTAAATACCTAAAAAAAAATTTATATATATACAATTAATCTTAGAAATAATAACATTAATAATAGTAATAATAATAACAACAATAATGTAATTATAATAATTTAAATAAATCGATATTACTTTCCGCACAGCAATCATTTTTACATACAAAGTTACAGTTACAAACAGTAGTAAACTGACAAAACGTAACAACTAACGATGACATAAAAACTGCTAAAAAAATTATAAAGATTTAGTAAATATATATATATATATATATTTATTTATTTTATTTTAATTCACCTCCTCAAGGCCGAGAAAGCCACTACAGACGAGGAGGCTACTTATTTGTGGCTATAACCCTCTCTCAACTCTATAACTCCGAAACACGAACCTTGATGAACAAGGCCGCTGCGCGGAGAAACGAGTTGAGCGCGGTACTACCAGGGACGTGGTGAGGATCGAACTCGGAACCACTCGTTTATGAAGCGAGCGCTCTACCACTACACCACTACCGCATATTAATATAATCATAGTTGTTAAAATTTAATAATCAAAATATATTGCAAATATTATGCCCAAATAAATAAATAAAATATAAACAGAAAAACATTGAGAAAATCAAAGCAAAACAAGTTACAACAAATATTACAAAACAAAACAAAAAACTATGCAAAAAAACAAAACAAACAACAACAACAACAAAACTTAAAATTAAAAAAAATAATAATAATAATACACAGTAGAATTAAACATATATAATAAATGGCTAAAATGAAAATAAAAACAAATAATATAACTGTATAAACAATTTATATACCACTAAAAATAAATAATAATTAAAAAACAAACAAATAACTAACAAAAAATAATAAGTAAAACTATATACGCTAAAAAATTGAAGAAAAATAACTTAATAATAAAATAAATAATCCTAAGAAATATATAATAAAAAAACTAAATAAATGTATCAAAAAATAAATAAAAATCTTGATATGCCGATCGAGGTTCCGATCGAGGTTCCGATCGAGGTTCCGCTCTTTAAATAGTTTTTTTTTCATTCTTTGCCATTGTTTTTATATATTTTTTATTCTTCAAAGTTTTTTTTTTTAACTTCTATTTTAGTTGCTTTTTTACTTATTTTCTTTTCGATATATATTTTTTTTCTTCTTTTAAGAGATTTATTTATTCTTCTTTTTTGTTGATTTCATTTTTAATTTAATTTATAAATGTTTTCTTTTCTTTTTTACTTTTTTCCTTTTAAAAAGTTATTTTCAATGGTTTGAAAAAAGCGTCCACCATTTGCAATGTCAATGCAAAGTCCAAAAAACAATAAAATAAATAACTCTATAAATAAATATAATTGAATATAAAAATTACCTATTGCTGTTGTTTTTAAATAAAATTTTATATCAACAAAACATTACAAATTTTTTAACCAACAACATTTTTTATAAAAAATTTCAAAATTATTTTTACTTTACAAATCAGAAAAACATTAGTTTACAGTAGAAAATTTCAATAAGACTGATGTTAAAAAATACTAGATAAAGTTTTTGAGCATAAACAGTTACTGTTAAATATTTATATTATATGCTGACTCACACATATAAGGTCTTTTGTAATGGGACCATATCACTATTTGCATGAAAGGGTAAGAGCCTTATAACAATGTGACAGTGGCTTAAAAGGGTTAACTCTAGTTGACATAACATAGACTTTAGATTGACAGCTAGAGCAGGTTTAAGTACATTGACAATTGATTTTTGAACCTTGTCCAAAAGAATCAAGGAATCATTAAAAGTCTAAGCCCTAAAAGAAAAGCAGTTGATAAAAAAGGTGACAAAACTTTTATAAAAAGTAAGAATTGAATTAGAAGTAAGAAAATGGTTACCACAATAAAAAAAAGCAACTTTAATCAAGCTTTTGATATTTCAAGAGTAACAGATATTTTTGAACTTGAGTGCATTATAATGTACTAATAAAATATTAGAAGTTTCTTAACTAAAGACTCAAAGACATTGTTAATAATAGTAAGAAGGTTAATTGCACAACAACTGGAAAAAAGAGAGTGACATACAGATTTTTTTAAAATAAGATGGCCAGATGTTATATTCAATCAGGCAGAAAAATTAAAATTACTTAAGCTAAATTATAGAGTATTAAGAGTTCTAAAGAAAACCTGTATAAAAATTTGTCTTTGTCATAAAAGCTGTAATGCTAGATTTTTGACATGATTAGAACATTTCATATTGAATTAAGTGGTTTGTCTAGGTAGTATAAGGCTTAGAGGAAAAGTTCTTTGAGATAAACTGTGATAAAATATAAGAATTAGTAACCTGAGAATCATGAGCATTAACTTAGATAATGTTCATTAAGAAGACATTAAAGAAGTGTTCATGAAAGACAATTTTAATGCTACTATTTAAATGAAATGATGTTTTATCATTTCATATGTTCTCGTCTTTTTGCTTCCATTCAATGTGTAAAAAATATTTTCTTTTATCATGAATAACTAACCAGCAGTTATTATGATTAACTAACCAGCAGTTACACTAGAATCTGCACTGATTGCCAGAGAGTAGTTGAACATAAGATAAGATAAGAGAAGTTTGTTAATTTAAAACTGTCTTGGGAATAAGAGCAAGATATTTAATCACGCAATAGTTGGAATGGTCAAAGAATCTCAAGAGTTTTTAAAAATAGGAGCAACATTAAAGATTTAGCTAAAAATAACACTGATTGTACAAACCCTACCCTGACCAAGTTCAAAACCGTACTATATTTTTAAAAAATAATTTGTTTGATAAAATGTTTTTTGTTTTAAAATTTTCAAGTCTTAAAATTATTTCTACTTTAACCCTGACCAATTTCAAAAAACTTTAAAACGCCATCAAAAATTTAGGACTGCAAATATTACAAAATTTTCATTTATAATGAAAAAGAAAAATATAAAAAACAGTTTCAATTTAAAGGTTTTAAGTTAAACTAAAAGATACCAAAAATGTGTTCAAACATACTTTAAGTTAAACTAAAAGATGTGTTCAAACATACTTTAAGTTAAACTAAAAGATGTGTTAAACATACTTTAAGTGTGGATAAAATTGCATTAAAAACAAAATAAAAAAACATTCCTTCTTTGGATTTTCTTGCTTTTTTTGATAGTCACTTTTCAGAAGAAATTTATCTATATAAAAATATATAAAGATATCTGCTAAAATAATACCTCAATATTAGACTTCGCTGATTGTAGTGAAGCCAATTTAATATTTAGTATAATGCATTAGAAGCCATTTATTTATCAGGCAAAAAGCTTTCAGCTATCATAGTCAAATGAAAGGATGATTACTTTAGTAATGTAATCCTTGTCATATTGTTACAAAGATATGTAAATATTACTTTAGAATTCAGATCTTAATTCTAAACTAATATTTACAGATCTTTCTAACAAATTGGCTTCATTCGTTTTCAACAAGGACTTTCATTTTTTCAAATAAAAATTTTTTTTGTCGTAAGTTATACTTTTTTGATTGCCAAAAACCAATAAGGGAACATTACTTAAAATTAAAATCTGTTTTCTGTTTATCACCAAGATATGAAAAATCATTGAATAAACAGAGATTGCAATTTATAATTTATTTATAATATACTATTGAACTAGTAGAAGGAAGGCATAATATTGATTGAAGAAAGTTGTATCCATGTAGAGAAAAAAATTAAGTGATAAAGCTTATGGCATATAGTAAGCCAATTTTTTAAATTTATCATTGTATCTGTGACCTTTAGGTTAAACGCTTTGATTGGAAAATTGATTTTTAATGAATTCATTAAAAATCAATTTTCCAATTTACTGTATAAAAAGCTTACTGTAGTTGCAGCAGTCAAATAATTTTTATATTTTAAAAGAAATTAATTTTTTTTTCTTAAATTTTGCTGTAAAGTGTTGATTTTTTTTTTTCAGCGCTATCTCTAACAAGTCATAGAGATAGTGGTGAAAGTTAATTGTTTTGCTCAGCACTATCAGTAGTGGTTTCTTGATTGATCAATTCTATCAGTAGTGTTTTATGGTTAATAATTATGAGATAAATTCCTTTTTTTTCTAGGTTTATTTATAGAAGGATAAATATCAAATTTTTTCCAACAAAGCATCAATTGTTGGGAATGGATTAACTTGTGTTTGTCTTTTTTATCCTTGCAGTAAATACCAAAAATAACAACATTAAATTTTAAAATGGACTATACAATGATCAAGAAATGCAATTTTTTTATCTGGGATGTAATTTTTTTTGATCTGGGAAGTAATTGTAATCTGATTTTTAAAATTGTTTTCTACAGATACAAGTATGTTTAGATGGAGGAAGATTTTCTTATCACAAAACAACAATTTATCTTTTACACAGTTAAGAATTTTGAAAAAGAAGTTTATTGAAAAATTTGTTGCTGTATTTTACATGTCCACTGATCCATATACAAGACTTTCTTTAAAAAATTCACATTGTTGTATTAAAATAAACTTATAAAAGCAAAGGTTTCATGTGGTAAACAAAGGTTTCATGTGGTAAACAAAGGTTTCATGTAGTAAACAAAGCCACAGAAAGTATCAATCTTCTTGAATATTAGTAATAAACATTCAGATGAAAATTGATATTTTTGCTTAGATTGCTGTTAAATGATAAGTAAAGGTATCAGACATCATTGCACAAAATCTGCAACTTTGACGTCAACTGCCAAATTGAGGTGGGTTCATACTTTCTCAAGTCCCAAAAAACTTCTAAACAACTTACTGCCTGTACTGATATATATAAATAATACATCAGACTCTAAGAAATTGATTCTAGCAACAGGTAAATGTGTATATACCTCTTTAATTTTTATTGTTAACTAATTTTTATTGTTAACAAGTAAATGTGTATATATATCTCTCTATTTACAGCTAATTTTTTTTTTTTATTTGAATTAAATTTAGCAATATGTAATTGTGTATTACAGTTTTCAACAAAAATACAACAATGAAAATTACAAAATTGAAGAATTAAGAAAGATGTTGTAATTGTTCCTTGAGTCATGAAAACGAAAAGATTATTATCCATAGAGAAATTGACCTCTACATAGAGATTTCTGTACATAGAGAAATTGACCTCTACATAGAGATTTCTGTACATAAAGAACTTGATCCTTATAATTGCTTACAAGGTTCACTGAAAAATAAAATGAACATTTTCAACCCAGAATAGCATCTAACAGAGCAAAAAAACATAAAAAATACAGGGATAAACACATTTCTTACGTGGAGTACAAGGAAGTAACCACAATTTGGAGAAACTTATTAAATTACTTAAGCTGAGTATGCTAAAAAGTTGCAACAGACCTGAAGGTTATCAAATACCTGATGTTTATTTACTGAAATTTCAGTAAGTAAACATCAAGTATTTTATATATTTCTGGAGGATTCACTTACAGAAATAGAAAAAACTAACTTCTTTTTATTATTTAATATTTGATATAAAAATAAGATTTGATTAAATATTTATAATCTTTGTCACTAACACTAATTTGAAATGTCAGAATGTATGGGAACATGGCAGAAAGTAATCTTTCCAATACTGTGAAGGAGATAAAAAAGACATATAGACGTAAAACAGTTGTAACCTATTCTAGTATGGAATGTAACTTTAACATTTTCTGCAATGTAAAAAACAAGGCTGTTTTTAATGTAAAGTTTAAAAGATTTATTATGAATTTTATTGTTTGTTTTTTTTGGGTGAGGGTGAGGGTGTTTAAAACAATTTAATCTTAATTATGATGCAAATTTCTTAAATTTTTTGATCAACTAATTTCTCACATCCCATCTTGAGTCAAAATAATTTATACAATCAATACTGTTTTTAATCCTCTTTCTCTCTATGGCTGACTTGCTGTGACTGAAAGATTTTATTGTGCATTAGATAAAAGCAGTGAGGCTAGAGCTATTGCTTCTGACATATCTAAAGCAGTCGACAAGGTTTGGTATGCTGGTCTTCTCCACAAGTATGCTTCATATAGTTTATTTGGGAAAGTTTTTAAGATTATCAAATTACTTTTTTCTAATCAATTCAATAAAGTTATCCTTGAAGGCCAACACTCCTTATTCCAGTAACTTTTGGGGTACCTCAAGGTTCTATCCTTGGTCCTGTTGTGTTTCTTATCTACATTAATGATTTTTGTGACAACCTTACATCTAAAGTAGCTCTTTTTGCTTATGACTCAACTTTATGCAATTGTTTAGACAAAAAGTCTTCACTTTTCTATCGCTTAGAAGAGGCCGATCCAGAATCTGATCTCACTTCTATAACATTGGAACTTGCAATGGCTTGAAAATTTTAACTCTAATAAAACTTGCCATTCCAATAATAATGAACAGCAACCCTCTCACCGAGTCCTCTTCTTTACATCTTTTTGGATTATTGTTTACTATTGACCTTTAATGGTAACCATATATACAATTGATTGCTAAATTAGCATCTGCTAAGTTTGCTTCTCTTTATTATGCTTGCTATTATCTTACTTCTGATTTCATTCTCTACCTCTACATATCTCATATTTGTCCCTGTATAGAATACAGATGTCATATTTGGGCTGTTTTGTTTAATGATGGTCTTTCTCGTCTAGACAAGATCTAAAAAACGCATTGTTTGTATAGTTGGATCCGCTCTATCTGCTAAGCTTGAGCCTTGTTCCCATTGTTGTAAAGTTGCATCTCTTTCTCTTCTCTACAAATACTATCATGGCCACTGCTCTAATGAGTAAGTAATCATCTCTAAAACATGTCCATCAACTAAAACTCTCACTTAACTCATTATTCAGCAAAGTCTCATTTGTATACTTTATCTGACCTTGTGTTCTCGAATAACTTTTATTTGTCTAGTTTTTTTCCATGCACTTCAACCCTTTAGAACTCTCTCCCATCTTTATGTTTTCCTGACTCATACAACTTACAACTTTTTAAGTCTTTTGTCAAATGTTTTCTTTCTCTATAACTCTATTCTTTTTTTTCTAGTCACTCCTAACTTAAAAGTAGTTGCTTACAGCCTTGTTTTTTATATTAATGCAAAAAATGTTAAAGTTACATTCCATACTGGAATAGTTTACAACGAAGCTTACGAAGCTTTTCTCTGTTGTAAAGGGAGAGAGTTTTTAAAAAAACTTAAAACTTCTTTAAACATCAAAACAACGGTAAAAATTATTTGCGCATTTGACATATGTTATTACAGTGCTTAGGTAGTTAGTCAAGTCTACACAATTAACATACATAAGAGACAAATATTTTACTTGTAGGAAAAACAGAGCTTTTTTATTTAAACTTTTATTTTTTTTCAAAATTAATTAGCAGGGCAAGGGTCTTAATGAACTGTAGATTGTCTGGAGACAATTTTAAAATTAGAAAAGTTTACAATTTTATAATAAGAAGTATTAAACAATAACTGCTAACTCAAAACAAAGATTTTTATTTTTTAGCATCTACTAAAAGTTTTTGAAATTACTTTATAAAAAATAAGTATAGAATTAATTGGTGTGAACTAGTTATCATGACCCTATCATACTGGTTAAAATTTTTGAAATGACCCATATCACCCATTCATTGACATTAAAACCCACCATATAGCAAAAATGTTTCCACTAACATAGGAAAAGTATTTTAAAAATTGATTAAACATTTTTCGCCCTCTAATAAATTACATTAAATTTCTACTTAAAATACAGGTTAGTTAAAAGTGCATAAAAAATTTGGAAAGAATTATAAAAGCTCACAATAATGCTTAGCTGAACAAAAAAAAATTTGAAAAAAAATGTATGAGTAATTTAATAACAGAAAATGTATGAATAAAAAAAAAAAGTACAGAAAATTGTTGTTGTTAACAAAATTAAATTGCCAATGAGTGGAAAATATTTATCAAAAAATGTGTTATATAAATGTATTGTTTATTTTAAGAATACACATAATGAACAAAGCAGAAGTAAACAATTCTAAAGAACACTTTTATTAATAGTGTCAATATTCCCACAAATAATTGTGTCAACATTCCCACAAAAAATAGTGTCAACATTCCGACAAATGACTTAAATATAAGTTAAATTTTGGTATAAATTTATTAATTTGATCATTCTTTTCTGAGGAAGCTTTATTGATGAAACAGTGTGTAAAATGAAATAATTTAACAGTGATTTTCAACTTATTTTTTAAAATATATAAAATAATTTAATAAACATTAATGTTTATTATTTATGAAAAATATTAATATAAAGAATTTTGACTTTCAATCAACAAACATGAAAAAATATCAAAAGTGTTTTATTAAAACATAATACGATGTTATTGGTGAAAAGGAATTTAATAGTAACCAGCAAAAAGTGAAACTTAAATACCTGCAGAGCATATATAGGTCCAGTATGTTGATTATAAGAAGCCACTATATTGTCACCAGGACTTTTAGCTTTCCTATTACAAAGTAAAGCAGCACCCTGTTCAGTTCCTACCATAAATTTGGTTGGCATAGTAGGTTCATAGTCCAAAACAAGGCCACCCATTGGTTTATTTTCTTTTGAATTTTTAACCAAATAAAGCATTTCTGCAGGTTCAGCCAGTTTACGAATATCCCACCAATAAACATATCCATCAGTACTTGTGCTGAAACATTCAGTTCCTAAAAAAAAAAAAGAAATCTTACTTAAAACAATAAAAAAAGAAAAAAAACAAATGAAAGAAAAACAAGTTAACAAATAAAAAGAAACAAAAGAAGAAGAAAAAATAAGGAATATAATTATAAACAAAGAATAAGAAGGTGAGTTGTTTTATTCTTTTTTTTTTAACAATACAATATTGTTATTTTTTGTGTAACTAATTTTTTTTTTATTATTATTCATTTCGTATTGTATTATTGTTTTTGAGAATATTTATTTTTTATTATTTTTTTTGTGAATATTTTTTGTAACAATTTTTTGTTATTTTTAGTTGTTGAACCTTTTATTATTATTTATTTGAGGAGGTGAATAAATAAATAAATAAATATATATATATATATATATATATATATATATTCATATATATATATATATATATATATATATATATATATATATATATATATATATATATATATATATATATATATATATATATATATATATATATATATATATATATATATATATATATATATATTAAGGATTTTAATGGTAATGAATTTATTCAGCATAATTCTAATATTGACTAAGAGTTTCATATTAAAAAGGGTGATAATGTCAATGAATCTATGAACTTTTATAAAAAAAAAATTAACAGTCCTTGATCACCATGCCCCATACAAAAAACTGATTGATAATCAAAAAAAAAACTCAAATCCAAACTTTTGATCATTAATAGAGTTCTGTTACAAATTAAAAATTTTACAAAAGAAAATAATCTCAAAATTCTAACACAATAAGTCAACTATTCAATGAATTTAAATTATACAGGAAAAAAATTATTTAGGAATTTTAAAAAAGTCATACTACTTCTTCTTTAACAAAAACCTCAACAATACAAAAAATACATAGAAAGGAATAAAATAAATTATTAACATCAAACCCTCCACACCAAGACAGACAGTATGGCTGTTGCTAACATTTTTAACAACTATAAAACAATGCAGCACCCACCCAAAAGTAAAATGATTTCTTCTAAAAGTATATTCTCAGACTATTTAAAAAATTTTAATTCTTTCTTTCTTAATCCAGTGACAGTAAATTAGGTACCTGATTTAATAAAAAATACTCTACAAAATGATAAAAGTTTAGATTCAAATAGTATCCTCACATACCATCTTAAACATACTTCTTATCTTAAAGCCTCTCTTTACCATATTGAATAATTTTTTTAATAAAGGCTTTTTTCCAGATGTTTTAAGCCAAAGTCATTTCTATTCATGAAAAGAGTTCTCTGGTAGACCACTCAAATAATTGACTAATTTCTCATCTATTTAACATTAACAAAGTATTTGAAAAATACTTTGTTAATGTTAAATTTATGTCTCCATCCATGATGCCAAATCTTTGCCAATAAAATGCTACACAAGTGTACCACAACATTTTGTATTAGGACCATTGCTTTCTTTATTTAAAAGAAATTTATTTTATAAATGAAATTAATATCTTTCTAAAATTTTCAACAGCGTACCATTATGCTTACGATACCAACTTACACATAACAAACAAATCATTAAAAAAAAATTAATAAAAATATTAACCATGACCTTTCCAATGGTTATGGCTGATCTTTTTTTAATGGCTGTGCTCTAACAAACTAAGTTCTAATAACTAAGTTCTAAACTCATCTTTTTCAAAACAAATCTCAAATATATAAAACCCTAAACTTTAGTTTAAATAGTCAAAAATCCCATAGTTTCATTAAAATATCTTGCAATTAAAATTGACTCAAATCTACCTTTTTCCTCTCATTTTAAAAACTTAGCAGTGATATTGTGTAGACGAAATAGGATGCTAGCCAAAATTCTTCCTATATTAATTATGAAACTTTACTCAATATACCATTCAATTTTTGGATCACAACTAAGATATGCTTGTCAGGTTTGTCAGGTCAGGTTGTCAGGTTTGTCAGGTCAGGTTGTCAGGTTTGTCAGGTCAGGTTGTCAGGTTTGGGGACAAAGCAAACTTTAATTATTTTTTTTTAAGATTATCTAACCTTCAAAACAAGACTTATAAAATAATATACTTTTAAAAATCTTTTGAATGAGCAACTCTTAATTATCCCAAATTGTTGTTTGGTAAAATACATGAAAAAATGGTAAAATCATGGAACAACTCACCTCTTCATCTTCAATCACTAAACTCTATTTCACAATTTAAAAACTGCCTTTATGACTATTTGTTAGAAAAATACTGTAAAATGTTAGGCTCATCACAAATCAATAATGCTATTGTTATTAGTATGATTATTATATGTGAAGTTAATATAATTTTCATTTATATTTATATTTTTATTATTGTCATTACTACATATTAATATTGTTTAATATTTATCTGTGATATCTGTCAATATTACTATTATTATTGCTATTACTATTATAATTATTGTTGTTATTATTATTATATCTAAATTGTTATTATTATAATTCTCCTCGTTAAATTTACTTTAATATTATGATACTTATTATTTATTTTGTGTGTATTTTAGATTAGTACTCGTACTATTAGTAAACAACCGTGAAATGTAAAGACTTTTATTTCAGAATATATTTTTATTGTTTTTTGTTATTGTTATATTTATAAAAAAGTAAATAGTTCGATGGGTAATGCAATGAGTCAATACTTTTTTATGTGTTAGGATTTTGGAAAAAACATGAAACAAAAAACTAAAAATTCATCAAATTGGCACTTTCCATCCTTTTTTTCAGCCTATGGTAACTCAATCATTAAAAAAGAATTAGTATAGACTTTCATTAAAAAGAATTAATATAGACTTTAAAAACATTAAACTTGGTGTTACTTTTTTCACAGCCATACAAACAGGGTAGATAAAAAAAAAAATGTCTATCACTAAGAATTTACAAAAAAATTCAAAAAATTATTGCTATTTTTCATCGCACATAGTGCAACTAATATAAAATGAAATAAATTTTAAAATATGGTCAGCAAAAGTTGTGGGTGTGGGGCATATTCCCCTCATATTCGTCAACAAAACAAAAATAAGTTTTATGTGTTATAATCTTGTTCATATAACTAATTGCTATAGAAATAACCAAGTCTTCTTAATTAATTGCTTTTTAAATGTGTTCTATTTATCTATATTTAAATGTGTTCTATTTATTCTATAATTACTTTGGCATTGTAAATATTTCAATAAATAAATAAAGCACTTCTTTGAAATGATCTAAAACATATAAAAAGATGTTATATACTTAATACAAAAATATTTAAATAAAAACAATATCAATTCCATTACAATAAAAATCTACTCGAGTTCAAATTGTATTAAAATGTATAATAGGATAAAGTGTATCCTGAGAGATAAAAATATGGGATTTTACTACAGCTTTCAAGTCAAAATAAAAAAACTTCATGTGAATGCCATAATTGAACTTGATTGTTTAAAATGTTTTATAAACACTGTTATGTAGTTTAGAAAAAACAGGCAGGCAAATTACAATAAAAACTAATTTAAATTTAAAAGGAAATTTAAAATACAGAGACACTAATGAAAGAACGAGAAAACATTGTATACAAAACAAAAATGTTGATTCACTTTTCTATACTCACTGATGCACATTAACCTTTAATTACATGGTTATCAGGGTGTCAAATACATTTGATCAAATAGAAATATGCTAATTTTAGATTTTTAAATACAAATTCAAATACAAATATAATTAATCATCATTTTCCAAACACAAATATTTACATTTTAGGTTTAAAAAAATACAAATATTTTTTCAATACAATAATGATAAAATGGTCTACTAAATAGAGGAATGGAAGTAAGTCTTTTAACAAATATCCCTTAAAAACATATTTTTAACTTACTTTAGTGTTAAAAACCTCTTGGTTTCACCAAAAAAACATAAATCAACCTAGTTTATGGATTTCCATATACATTTCAATCAAATACAAATACAAATATTTAATGCAAATACAAATACGTATTTGATCCCAACCCTGATGGTTGTTGTTAAAGCATAAACTTTTAAAATACAAATTAGTATAGTGTATGATATGATAATGGTACTTTGATGTATGTATCTTGTTTTCCTGTTCATGGACAGGTTTAAAAAGCTGTGTTCAAGTCAGAAGAGCTTCTTGATCAGTATTTGGCAAAGACAGAAGAGATTTATTAGAGCAATAATAGCCCATAGATAAATCCTGTAAACCAATTAGAAAGATTTTTTTAAATTAATATAATCAATTGAAACTTTTTAATTTTTTTTTCCAATTATTATTCATGGTTAAGTTAAAAATATAAGTGATGTCTGGAAAAATATCTGGTTTTTTATTTTAAGTTTAGTTACCAATGGTCCAGAAAAACACTGAAATGTTGATTTTAAAATTGATGCTTTAATGATTTTAAAAATGGTGTTTTCAGACCATTAGTAACAGTTTAGAAATGTGAAGAAATGGAACTGTTTATAAAGTACCTATTTGTAAAAGTTCCTGAAATTTTTAATATACTAAATATTTATTCTATTTTTTATAGATGCATTTCTACTTCGATTTAAATTTAGGATTAATTAATTAATTCATTTTTTATTTTTAATACCTTGATTTTTATTTATGATACTTTTTATTTTTAATACCTTTATTTTTAATACCTTGATTAAATGTTGTTGGAACTAACAATTAATTATAAATGTAAGTTATAAATGCATTATTAAAGTAATAACACTATTACAGTGTCATTACTTTTATATCACAGATACTATAGTATTCTTACTATTGCAGTTTTGAAATTTTTGTTTTGTTTGTTTTTTATATTTTTTTTGCAAACAGTTTAAGTTAGTTCGCCACATAAAATCAATGTAAACAAATTTGAATAAATTAAAATTTTGAAGATCTGATATTTTTCCAGACAATTTTTTTAGGATTTACTTTTTTGTAAGTTTTTAGAAAGTTTATGAATTATTGTAGTTTATTTATAATAAAGCTTAATAGCTTTAATATAAATAAAGCTATTAAGTATTTTTTTATTATTATTTTATCAAATTATTGTCTTGTTATTATCAAATAAGTGTTACCTTTTCTTTTTTTTATTTAAAAATTTAAGAGAATTATATATTTTCTGATTGTCTATAGTGTTTGTATAGTCTTAAGAAAAGCAAAACAAAAAATTGCGTTCAATTTTTTTGTATTTATTGTGCCTAAACATTTGTGTCTAAACATATTTAGTTATTTGAATTCCTATAGATTAAAAAAAATAGCAGATAGTGCTAATTTGATGAAATTTTTGGAAAAATTACATTTTCCAAATGCCTTATGCCCTCACAAAACTTTTTAAGAGAAAAACTGCTCACCTTTAATTAAATATCCTATTACATAACTAAAATACTGTGCACACTTGCATTTTTCAATAATTAATACATAGATTTCTTTTTGTTAAGTCAATAAAGGTAGACAATTTTATTTATGTTTATCGTGACTGTATGACCTTAAAGGAATCCCCATGTGCGGAAACAAATTGTGTTCATATCTTAAATAAACTTTGGATAATAAGTATAGAGTTAATTAAACTTACCAAAACAAATTATTTATTGAGATATTAACAAAAAGTAATTCATTTTTTATAGCCATTTTTTTTTTTTTTTCAAAAGAAACTTCCAGATTGTGAAATTTTCTTTTAAAAGAAATCTGGTCTGATTAAAGCGTTCAAATTGGACTCTAAGAAAAATAACTATTTTAATTGGCGTATTCGATATTATTGTTAAAGTTAAATTATAATTTAATTTTTGGGTTTTTTCACTTGCTAACTTGGTATTATTATTTGAACTTTTTTTAAAAATACTCCATTGGTTGAATAGAGGATCTTATAAAATTTAAAAACCAAAAATAACATTTTGGGTATGAAGTGAAAAATAAACGAATAAATTTGTTGGTGAAAAGATTTTATTATAATTGCAAAATAAAAATAAAAAAAACCCAAGCTCATGCATAAATTAAATTCTTTGGCCATTTAGAGCAGGTCCGCCCTCCCCCTAATGAAAATAATTCTAAAATGCACATTTATTAGCACTACAGAAATGCAAAAATTTTCAGAGCTCTAGCTAGTCTGGAATGTAGTGAAAACTAATTGCAGTATTCTGCTACAAAAAAGTGGGGACTGTACCCCATAATGTACATAATGTTTTACAAAGAAAAATATTTATGTTGTAAATCAAAAAAATTAAACAAAGTTGACCTTTCAGTTTTAGGGAAAACAAGATAACGTTATTTCATTATCTTGATTGCTGATTTTAATAAATAACATAACACATGACATAATACTTAAATTATTAGAAATGCAAAATAGGTTAATACATTCAGTTGAATAGAAGTACACCCATAAGTAAAAAAATACCAGTTTTAGATTGAACAAACTTTACATCAAAGATTGGATCTTGGTGACTGCAAGCAATAGGTGTCACTTCAAAAGGTGCAGAACCTTTACGTGTATCCCAATAACCTATATAATTAGATATATAAATACATATTTAAGTATATAAAGATGTATATAAAAATACACATGTAAAATATAAATATATACACATGCATATATATGTACGCACAAAATTTAAAATTTGAGCAATCAAATAAGAAGCTCTTGTGGCTTAACTCAGAGCAGTACTCTTTTTTCCAGAGCTTTTGTATCTCTTCTTCATTTTTAATTAGTTACTTACCAAGTAATTATTCAAGACCCTCTTAAAGTGTCTTGAACAATTACTTACTTTGTCATTACATAACTCACTGAAATCTTTTGCTTGTTTTATTTAACTCATATTTTGATAGTTTAAATTCACTTTTTGCTGAAACGTCAAACAGATTTTTTAAAATCTAATTTGGCAACATCTACTATTACAATAACTGTGGAGATGATGTATGTAAATAATGGAAATGATGTTTGGTTTTTCTTAAGCAACATAGCTTAATCATAAAATTTACATTTAGGGTTCAATTTACTAGTTAAAATCGCTCAATATTGTTGATTCTGTGTTTCAAATTCTTCCCTTATCCCAAATTTTCACAACAGCTTTTGTGGATTAACAGATTCCTAAAAGCAGTAGTTTAACTGAAGATTTGTTGCAATTATTAAATTTGTATAATCATATTTTTCTGAAAATAAATAGAAGCAAAGAAAATAGTCCAAATGCATCTTGGAACTTGGAACTAAATAAAAAAATGTCATTATTAATGTAATTTTATGAGAACGAGTTTCTGAAATAAATTAAAATATTCATTTTTACTTTATACAAAGTTCGCCTATCTTGCTTTTATCCTTGCAAAATAGTCAATTAATGCTGAATAGTCGAGTCTGCGAAATTGTCAATTAATACTGAATTTAAGAAGCAATATCATTTTCAATGGAAATTTTTGTAAATCCAACAAAGTCTGTAATAACTTTCAGTTTGGATGCAGTAGTGGTGTAGTGGTAAAGTGCTTGTTTCATGAGGGAGAGGTTCCAAGTGTGATCCCCACCACATCCCTGGTAGTACCACGCTCAACTTGTTTCTCCGCTTAGCGGCCTTGTTCCTCAAGGTTTGTGTTTTGGAGTTATAGAGTTGAGAGAGGGTTATAATCACAATTAAGTAGCCTCTTTGTCTGTAGTGGTCTTATGGGCCTTGGGGAGGTGATTTAACAAGCAAAAAAAAAAAAAAAAAAAAAAGACTATTTTGTCTTATTATTAAGCATACGCATGTCTTAGTGTAAATTTAGAACAACTGTGTTTTACTGATGCCACTATTATACGTATAATACTGTTCATAAAATAGAAAAATCTAGATTATTGCAATAATGATTAGCTGAAAAGAATTTTTATGTGAGTTTTATCTGAGTTAAAGTTTACCAACCCGTGTTGAGTCCCGTGCTGTAGCAGAAGTGAGATCATTTTCAAGCTCAAATGCCCCCTCCAAGCAATCAGAGTGTGTTGGCTTCTTATCAAAACAAGAATAAATATTAGTACTATCAGTGAACAATGCCACCTTATATGTGAATTTTATTACTTTTATTTTTAACTTTTATTTTTGTCATTAATAAATAATTTTTACTTTATTGGTAATATAAAAAAAATTAATAATAGTTTTATAAATTTAGAGCATGGGGCTCTCAGTGAGAGCATGGGGCTCTTAGTGGCTGGTAAATTTTAACTCATCTAACCTTCATCTTCTAGGATTAACTCTTTTGATCTTTCTTTGAAATCATATATAAAATCCATTGCAAAACTAGCATCTGCTATGGTTGCATCTCTTTATTGTGCTTGACACTTTCTTTCTCTGGATTCTATTCTTTATCTCTATAAATCTCAAATCCATCCTTGTATGAAATATGGTTGCCATATCTGGGGCAGATCTTCTAATGATGCCCTTTCTTTTTTAGACCACGTGTAAAAACACTTTGAAAACATAGCTGGACCTGCTCTTACAGCCAATTTCCGACCATTTTTTTCCTTTGAACATCAGTTCTTTGGAATTCACTTTGGAAGTGAAAATGATGAAAAAAATATATCAATTTTTGGTGCAAAGTTGTGGACTTAAGCAAATGAAGAAACATTTTGTCTGTTATTAGCATCATTCATATTAAAATGTGGAATAAAGCTCAAAAACAAAATCTAAAATTAAAAAATATTGCTGCTTTTTTTTTGTATTTTAAAACAAAAGTTATTATTAAAAACCAAAACAAAAAACTTAGTTGGCATTTTATTTTTATTTATAGATTTTTTTTGCAGAATAAAAAAAAAGAGTTAGTTTTATTTGACAATTAGTTTTATTTTATTTTTATTAGTTTTATTTAAAAATAATTCATTGCATAATGCTATGATGAATAAACAACTAGCAAGCAGAAAAAAAAATAAGCTAAGCAGCAATAGTTCTAAATGGATGATGTCACTGAAATAAATAGATGATGTCACTGAAATAAATGAAGAAATGACCATATAGTCAATTATTTAACCTCGCATGTCTTACCCTCAATGTGACAACACACTTTTTCTGGATTACTGGTCTGATTTAAATGGAAGAAAAAAATTAAAGACATTGTACTGGTTGACAGTTTCAATAACTGGTGTTGGTTATATCGTTAATTTTTTTAAATTCGTTCAAAGATTTTGCATTGGATATTTTTCTGACAAAGAATTCCATAATGGTACAACTCTATTTGTTAAAAAGTTATGTCTTATTGCATTGCTAATAATTTCCCTGTCATATCTGAACTTGTGGCCACTAGTGCTTAAATTTTTAAATAATGGTGGATTAACGATTTCAACTTTTTCTATTTATTTAAACATTTTTTACACTTGTATCATGCCTCTTCCGGATCTTCTATGCTCCACAGTTGTTAAGTGAAGTTTGACAAGACGATTTTTATATGCTTAGTTTGTTTTATTAGGAACTGTTTGAGTTTTTTTTGTTTATTTTTATTCCCAATAAGGCTGCAAGCAACCACTATTAAGTTGGAAGTTATTGGGAAAAAAAATAGAGTTATAAAGCAAGGTAACAGTTGACAAAAGATTTAAAAAGTTGAAGGTTGTATGAGTAAGGAAAACATAAAGATGGGAGAGAGTTCTAAAGCATTAAAGTGCAGGAAAAAAAACTTGACAACTAAAAGTTTTTAGAGCATGTAGGGACAGATACAATAAAAAAATGAGACTTTGCTGGGTGACAAGTAGAGCCAGAACAAGTTTTAGTTTATGGAACTAGAGATGATAACTCCTTCAAGCATGATAGTATTTGTAGAAAAGAGATGCAACTTTACAACAATAGGAAAGATGCTCAAGCTTAGCTTAGATATGTGAGAATTTTTTTTATCAAAGACTTGAAGACCTTGCTAAAAAAAGAAAGATTGGACAATAATTAGAGGGGTCAGAATGTTCACCAGAGTATTCGAAAATTGGAAAAACAGCTGCTTGTCTTTAAACTTTTTTTAAATCACAATTGTCTTCTCTTATATATGAAGACTATAATTTATATTTATTACCATTATTTTTTTTTTTTTATAATTTGGCAGCAAATTCAATATGCAGTTGTACAATAACTTTATTAAACGTTGTGATGTGCAAAAGTTTTTTTATTTGTCAAAATAATTATAAGTTGAATTTGCTTTCTAAGTAGATGAAATTATCTATTGTTTTGACATAAAATCACTTTATATCATAAGATATTGTTTTCACATTTAAAAATTTTAATTCCAAGTTTGTCACTAAAATTGTTTTTTTAAACTTGCATCTATTAGATGAGTATGCGCTTTATTTTTTGTTTCATAACACATAATATGTCATAACTTGTGTGCATCTATTAGATAAGTATGCATTTTGTTTTTTGTTCCATAACGCATTATTAGGCATTTGCCAAAATTAAAAGAAATTAACCAATTTTAGACTAATTAACAGCTTTATGTAGGTCAGCTTTTTCAACTGGGGATAAAAACTTTCTACCCATAGCATAAAATTATGTTACATTTGGAAGGCAATCAGGTAAATCATTCATAATTTTTCCATGCAGAGGAAACATCAACTTGTTTTACTCGTTGGCATCTGTTACTTATAAAACCTATTATCCATTCTAAAGGTTTTCTGCTTACATCATATACTTCTTATTTTAAAATTAAATGTCTATGAGGTACCCTGTCAAATGCCTTAGCAAAATCAAGATATGTAAGATCAACTGGTCATTTATTTGCTAAAGAGTGCAAAATGTTTCAAGGAGTGTTAAAAATGTTTGCTAAAAAGTGCAAAATAAAGTCAAGTGTTTCAAGGAGATTTGTTGTAAAAAGTGCAAAATAAAGTCAAGTGTTTCAAGGAGATTTGTTGTAAAAAGTGCAAAATAAAGTCAAGTGTTTCAAGGAGATTTGTTGTAAAAGATTTTTATTGTTAATCTGAGCTAATTTTATGATATTAAATTATTACTACAAAATGAATTCTCTGAAGAGGTTTTTACAAAATTTATAAAAATTTTACACACAATTGAGGTAAGAGAAACTGGTCTGTAGTTTGGTGCTAGTAGCTTGTTGCCTCTCTTAAAAATAGGTGATCTGCGGATCAAAATTGTAATGGCAGTATTCTGAAATGTATGGATGCTTTAAAAATTAAAGTTAGTGGATGCGCCATTAAATCAGAACATTATTTTATAAGCTTTTGATGAACAAGACTAAGTCCCATTGATCGCATATTATGTTCTGTAGTTTTAAGGCAACACTTTCAACTTTGATTGTAGAATCAATTTACCATTTATTTGAGGGAAGAAAATGGGTAGTAGTCGATCACCCTCAATTGTAAAAATAGAATGAAATTTGTTGTTTAGTACATCAGAAAATAAAATTGGATCATTAAAAATACAATTATTATTATTTTTGATAGCTTTTATAAAATTTTTTACAGCTTTTTGATTATTAATATAACCATTAAAGAAGTTTAGGATTTTTTTTTGGGTCTTGTGAACAAGATTTTTTAACAATGAACCTGTTTTTTGACAAGAATTTTACAATTTCACATTGTTTTCTGGCTTTCGAAATTTCATAGTTAACTAGCAACATTCTTTGTATAATAATTTAAATTGTTTGTCACTCCAATTTAAAGCGCAATTTATAGCAGTATAAAAAATACAAAAAGAATTATAAAAGGCCACAATGTTGCATTAATTATTAAAAGTGAATTTCTCAAGAAAAAAAATTCTAAAAATTGTAATTGCAAACAAAAAATTGATTTTCCTATAAATGGAAAATGTTTATCAAAAAATATTATTTACAAAAGAATTGTTTCCTCAAAAAAAAATCTAAAAAAAAAATTATTGGCTTAACTGAGAGCAAATGGAAAGAATGCAACACCATCCGCAAACAATCTTTTGAACATAAAAAATGCTCAAAAGAGACAATGCTATGAAAAGATATTTTGCAATTTAAAGAAAAAAATATTACTTTGAAATAAAACTGGTCCCGGTAAGTGAAATTAAAACCTATTTGATGATGGAACCATTAAAGTAAGTTCAGCTAGCTCATCGTATTCTTTTTCTATATTTCTGTTCTAAAAGGTTTTGAATATATTATAAACTTGTAATAATTGTAACTTTTTAAAAATTAGAATTAATAGAAACAAAACGATTAAAAATAAAATTACCACCTTTTTGAAGATCTTTAAACTGATTACATTATGGCAAAACTGAACAGCAGCTAGTTTTTGATTGTTCGAAGTGGTATTATTATTCTTTAGTTTCAGTATCTATACTATTCGAGTTTTGTTTTAGAATTTCAAATAGTTTGTTTTCTGAATCAGAAAATTTGATGCTTGGGTCAATCTTCCAGAAATGAGCTATGTGTTGCTCAGTTACATGATTTATAAATGCAATCAACAACAATGGACATTGAACTTGTTAAATTATTCTCATGCAAGTACATTGCCATCTTCCAGTATTTGCTAAAGTTGTGTCAATACAGAGACATTGGACTTTATCTTTTAATCCGAAAAACTCTATTAATTCTACGATAGCTTGCTTTTGATTAACGCCTGAACTAGAATCTATTGGAGGAATGCAAGGTTCTGTTTTTGCATCAACCCCTACCAAAACTGCAATTCTATTTTTTTTTAATTGCTTTCCTGCTGTTAATTTAATAACTATTTTTCTGGCAAAGTGTGTATTATATTAGTGAATCTGATGATACTACAGTGTTTTTTATATATTATTTTATTTCTTTAGCCATGACAGATATTATGTTCTCTGCAGCTCTATAAGATGTGAATTTAGAACAATTAAAGTTTGCTATAGAACCACCAGCCATGACAATAACACTACTAATCAATGGTGTATGTTGGTGGAGTGTTATACCTTCTCCCACTGCTGTATAAGCGGTTGACTGAAGAATATTTTCAGGAAGAAGAACAGAACTTTGAACATTAGGATGCTCATCAAAATCAAAATCAACATCTGTTTCTTTGCCTAATTTGCCACTAGTGTAAGAGTGCAACAAGCGGAACTTAGATAATTTAATATAACTATTCTTATATAATTCTGCTGATGGATTTCTATTTAACTTTGATGTGGTTCTTTTACTTCTTACTACAGAATACTCATATCTTTTATCTCTACCTCCAAGACATCCTTTTCTTTCACTAATCTGGCATTTTTAAAAAAACAATATCTTCTTATTTGTCTTTCACTTTTCTCATTTTATCTTTTAATATTTCTTCAAACATAACAAGTAAGTTTTACTAGTTCTTTATAACCACCTTGTGGAAATTGGCAAGTGCAAATTTAAAAAGTTGAACAGTTTCTTAACCTGTTTTCTAAATACATTCCTTTAACTGCAACTTTGTCAAACTTTTTGAACTTTGATTTATACAAAGATTCCTTTGTTGCATTCCAATTGGCTTGGAAAACTTTGAAAATCAGATTTTCAAAGCATAAGTTTTACCAATGTGAACTTTATCCAAAAAATATTTACAGTGAAGCTTGTAAAAATGTGTTTAACATGCTAGCTCCAATATAGCTAAATCTTGTGTTTGACAGATTTTTGTAATTAATTTTTGTGTCAGAATGTTTTTCAGCATCAGTTGCAGTCGTGTCAAAGCACAGATCCTTTATATAAGTTTTTAGCTTATATTTACCCAATATGTTAACTAAAATATCATGAAAAGATTTTCCAGTACAATGTTTCATTGACAGAATGCTAAGAAAATTTAAATCACCATCGATATTCACAAAAACAGCGAAACATCTCTTTTTCGTTTTGTACTGTTGTACAAGTTGCATGATTATTGAATACTTCGACTTGAAGCTTTAATTATAGTTTCTAAATATTTAGCTGCACTTTTACTTGATGCTTTACTTTTTGGATTTCTGATAGTGGATTCAGAAGGCGAGAAATTGCCCCCAGAAGTAACTACTATGTCAGAGTGCAAGTGCATCATTTCTAAATAAAATATTTAAAAAAAACAACCTGTAAATGCAACTTCTTATGCAAATTTTTTAGGTAATGATGTTGAAGGACTGGGACTTGATATAATTTTGTCTGCTGAATAGTTAAAATCCTGACAGAATGAGACCTCACTTGATGATAAAAACTCATTTTTTCCAGTTTGATTGTCTTGTCGCTCAGTAAATGTTAAACATTGCAATCTTCTTTCTTCTAACTTTTCATCTTTTGGCAATATGTTAAATCCATTAAACCAAGAGACTATTTACCTTTTGCCATTTGATCTTTTAAAAATTTCTTATCTGTTTGAATTGTATGAAGTTTGTTTCTGTCTTACTTCATTAAAATAGAGCAAATATCAGGTTTTCAATTCAAAAAATTTTCTTAGCACTTTTTTTAAAGATGTTTCTAGCTAATTCTAATGTGTTGCCTTTTTATTTTTTATTTTTTTAAAGTTGCTCATATTTTAACCATATCATTAAACAGTTTCCTAGAACACATAATATTTTTTTTTTAATTGCTTCAAACCTTTTTAACATAACCTCATATCAGAGGCAGATTGAAAAGAGTCAAGTTAACAAATTGATATAGGCAAAATTAAAATTTAGTAAAAAATAATAAATTATATATTATAAGCTAAACTGTGCTTGTGATGAAATATGCCTCTGTCATATCCTACAAAAAACCATGGTTTTTTTATAGCAAAATTTTTTATAGCAAAATTTTTATAGCAAAACTTTTATAGCATCTTCATAGCAAAAAAGATACAGTTCTGAGGACACATTGCTTGTCCAGAGCATGCAGACATCATATTTACTTAGGAAGCACAACCAATCAAAGTTTTGATGAAAGTATTTTTTTCTAACAGAGGCTGGATTAAGATTAAATTTAGATTTTATACATTTTATTTTTCAAAATGAAACTTAATTACTTGGTAAAAATATTGAATGAAAATTTTTAATCAATTCAATTTTTTTATCATACCTGTAATAAAAATGAAGAATAATTTCCTCAGTTGTGGCAAACTGTGTTTCAGAAAGTTTTTCTAACACTTTTTTATCTTCAAAAAAAAATGTATATATAATATATAAACTTTTATATTCATACCAAGTTGCCCATTATAGCATCCACCAATTATAACATGTGGATCCTTTGGATTATATTCTAGGCATACTAGTGGTGAAATTGGTTTCAGTGTGTACTCTGGTTTATTTGGATTTTCTAAAATAAAATATTCGATACAATATACAAGCATTTAAAGGTATTTCAGGTGTTAAAATAAAACTTTATATATTTTGTTTTATTTAATAGAACAACAAAAAAAATTTAAAAACATAATAACAATATTTCAAAGCTTTTATTTGTAATATTACAAAAATAAACACATGTGTTTTATTGAGCCAATAAAAATATAATTATTGAGTCAAAAATAGTCAAAATAGTCTGTGCTTGATGCATACATTGAAACATAAAAAAAATATTTCATTTACAATCGAGTAGTGAATTAATAGCGTAGACTTAAAATTAAGTTAATAAAAACTAATAAAAATAAAATTAAGCAGAAAATGTCAAAAATTGAGATTATTTTGTTTGCAAAAAATCATTTTTATTTAATTATTATGATGCAGTTTTAAACATTTTTTAAATTTGTTTTTAAATTTGTTTTTTTTTTTTTTTTTTTTTTTTTTTTTTAACATCTTCACTTCCAACAAGGCTGCAAGCAACCACTATAAGAGTTGGAAGTTACTGGAAGAGAAAAGACTAAATCTGTAGAGCAAGATAACGATTGACTGATGACTTAAAAGATTGCAAATTATATGAATCAGGAAAGCAAGATGAAGGAAGCAAATTCCAAAGAACTGATGTTCGAGGAAAAAAACTAGAAGAATAAGAGTTTTTGAAGCACTTAGGAACAGTCACAGAAAAAGGATGAGACTTAATTGAATGGCGAGTAACACGAGAATGAATTTTAGTAGATGGCACAAGGGACGCTAGCTCTTTAGAGCAGTGCCCATTATAGTATTTGTAGAAAAGAGAAAGAGAAGCAACATTACGACGATGTGACAAAGGTTGGAGATTGGCTGCCAGAGCAGGTCCAACTATGTTTACAATTCGTTTTTGCACCTTGTCTAAAAGAGAAAGAGCATCATTAGAAGATCCGCCCCAGATGTGGCAACAGTATTCCATACAGGGTCGGATTTGAGATTTATAGAGATAGAGAATAGAATCTGGAGTAAGAAAGTGTCGAGCTCGATAAAGAGATGCAACCTTAGCAGATGCTAATTTTGCAATGGATTTGATATATGGTTTAAAAGAAAGATCAGAAGTAAGAATTAATCCTAGAAGATGAATGGTAGATGACTCATCTAGTACATTACCATTCATAAATATAGGAAGATCTAAATTATTACGATAACGATTGGCCGAATAAAATTGAGTTTTATCTGAATTAAAGTTCAACAGCCACTGTGAGCCCCATGCTGTAGCAGAAGTGAGATCCTTTTCAAGCTCAGATACCCCCTCCAAGCAATCAGAGAGTGTAGGCTTCTTATCATGACAAGAGTAAATGGTAGTGTCGTCAGCGAATAATGCCACCTTAGATGTGAGAATATCTGGAAGATCGTTAATGTAAATTAAAAAGAGTATAGGGCCAAGGATTGAACTTTGAGGAACCCCTGAAGTTACAGGATGTGAAGAAGAGTGTTGTCCATCGAGGACAACTTTTATACTACGATTGGAAAGAAAGGACTCAATAATCTTAAAGACGTTACCAGCTACACCATAAGAAGAAAGCTTATGGAGAAGACCAGCATGCCAAACTTTATCAAAAGCTTTAGAAATGTCAAGTGCGATAGCCTTAACCTCTCCACCTCTATCTAATGCACGGTAAAACCTATCGGTTATTACTGTTAGCACATCAGCTGTAGAACGAGAAGACCGAAATCCATATTGATGATCAGAAAGTAAGTTATTTGATTCAAGATGAGAGATTAAGTGATTGTTGATTAAAGATTCAAAAACCTTGCTTATGACAGGAAAAAGACTAATGGGACGGTAGTTAGATGAATCAGATCGCTCTCCGGAATTTTTGAAAATAGGGATAACAGATGCTGCTTTCCAGCATGATGGAAAACAAGACTCTGATAAGCACTTGTTAAATAGTTTAGAAAGTATGGATGAAAGCTCCGGAGAACACCTCTGCAAGACTACAACAGGAATGTTGTCAGGACCACAAGCTGTTAAAGAGTCTAAGCAGGAAATTACTTTAGATACAGAAGCTGAAGTGATGCGAATGTCAAGCAAGGGATCAACCTGTTTGACGGCTATGTCAGGTAAAACGCAACTAGTGGAATCAAGAGATGATATTGATGAAAAGTTCTTGGCAAACAATTCAGCTTTGTCTTTAGGTGAGGTGACAAAGTCTGAACCATACAAGAGAGAAGGAATAACAGATTTGCCCTTATTATTGATACTGTTAAAGATTCTCCAGAAGTCTCGAGAGCCTAATTTTTGTGATGAGATACGAGATTTAATGACCTGGGAATAGCGAGCTTTGGCGTCAGACAAAACCTTTTTACAATGGTTTCTGGCGATAGTGAACAGATGTCTGTTTTCTGGAGAATTGTTTTGCTGATAGATATGGAAGTAACGGTTTCGATTAGAAATTGCTGCAGCGCAATGTGAGGAAAACCAAGGAGAAGAGTGAGGCTTGACCTGGAATCGTCGAGAGGGAATAAAAGATTCCATGCCAGCCTGAATCCATGAAGTTATGTAAGAAGCACATTTGTCAGCAGGAAGACGAAAGATTTCTACCCAAGGGCCATCACGAAGAAAATCACGGAAAGAGTCCCAGTCAGCTTTAAGGTAGTTGTATGTGGTACGATGATAGGGGGATTCTGATGAAGTAGAAGAATTTGATAATAGTTTTAGAGAGATCAAACCGTGATCAGAAGTACCTAAGGGTGAATGTGGAGAAATTGAGCACTGACTAGGATCCAAAACAAGACATAAGTCGAGTAGAGAAGGTAAATGATTAGGGTTGTCTGGAAAACGAGTTGGAAAGTTGACTATTTGAGTTAGAGATTGAGAAAGGCAAAAGTTGAGGGCCTTAACGCCAGCAGAGTCACTGACACTAGAGCCAAGCCAATCGGTGTGATGGGCATTAAAGTCACCAACAACGACGATATTGGCCGATGGATAAAGAGAGAGGGCTTGGTCAATTTGATCAGAAATAACATCAAGAATAGTGCAATCTTGGGATGAAGGAGAGCGATATAGAACAAAGAGAAAGGCGATAGAGTGAAGTTGTGCTAAACGAAAGCACATAAATGAATAGTCTGTAGATTCAAACCTAGTTTCACGACAAATGGGTGAGTTCTTACGAATGTAGATGCCCAGGCCAAGCATGTGATTATTGGAGTCTTTACGAATTAAAGGAAGATAACCATCAACACTAAGATCACAAGATGGGACAGCTGAACTCAAATTAGTCTCACAAAGAGCAAGTAGGTCTGATGAACTTTGCAAGAGATAAGACTCAACAGAAGAAAAGTTACTTCGAAGACCACGAATATTAGTAAATGATAGGTTTAGAGAACTTGGTGATGACGATGGTTCTTTGTGTTTTTTAGTTTTAGGTACTTTAGTCATTTTAAATTTATAAAGAACTTGACTCAAGTGTAGATAGTACTCAGTACACTATTTAACAAATAAGCAATAGCCTCATTAATATTAATAAACCCTAAGCCGTAACAAAGGGCTCCAAATGTGGCCTCTGCAATGCACACCAAAAGTACAAACAGGGACACCATCCATGCGCAACATAGCACTGTTAGTACTCTGATATTTTTCGGCTGTTGATGGAATCAGCCTCTCTGAGAGCTACCACAGAGTTCGGGAAACCTGACTACCAGCCGGCCTCAGAACCATAAAACTGAGTTTTAGAGCTGTACCCTCATTAGGAGATAATAGAATGAGTTGCCCAGTCATAAAAATAGAGACACAAGCAATACCCACACATTGAGTCAAGAAGATCCAGCGTTCAACATCCTAAACTGGAAACAATGTATTAAAAATACATCTGCGCCAGCCTAATAGATGTTTTTAAATTTGTTACACTACAAAATTTCATTTTAGTTTAAACTCTGATTATTTAAAATTAAAAGAAAGTAATTCTTTAAATTGCTAATATTTTATAAAACACAATAAAAGCTGACTCAGCAAAGTATACTGTTGATAGCTGACTCAGCAAAGTATACTGTTGATAGCTGACTCAGCAAAGTATACTGTTGATAGCTGACTCAGCAAAGTATACTGTTGATAGCTGACACAAAAAAGTATACTGTTGATAGCTGACTCAGCAAAGTATACTGTTGATAGCTGACACAAAAAAGTATACTGTTTTGCAAGTATTTAAAAAAAATGAGATTTGTTGAAAGAAAGAAATGAATTATTGCTTTACATATAAACAAGCAAAAGAATCAACATTCTGCTATAAAACTTACCAAATGTTCAGTTAAATAAGGTTAAGATAAACAAGCAGGTACAGTGATTAAAGGTTTTCATGACACAACAGAGAGCTTTCCTTGAACTTTCATAAATGTGAAAGTACAAGCTCAAAGAACAAAGACTTGTTTAACCAGTACATTGTAAACGAATTTTTTGACAACTATAAAAATATTTTATAAAAACATAATTTTATTTTTTATAGAATCTGTTCTAGAGCTTAAAAAAAGACTAAATGTTGAAAAAATTATCAATTTTTACTCCTAATAACCATAAAAAATTGCCAATGTGTTAAAATAATGGGTTTTTATCCAATATAAAACAATAAAAATAAAGGGAGAAAACAATAACAATACACGATTAAGTTTCCATATTGATATCAGCATATATTTTAGGAATATTCTTGCAAAATTCACCACATAGTAAATACCCTTTTTTACAAAATGCTTTGTGTAACAACAACTTTCTATGTGCTGAATGTGAGAAACTATAAATAAATTCGAACTATCAAATCTATAATAATCCTCATAAAGTTGTTAAAAATCAGGTATTATAACACATCTGATAACATATAATATCTGATAGCATACATGACAATGATACATATAATATTTGATAGCATATAATATCTGATAGCATACATGACAATAATACATATAATATTTGATAGCATATAATATCTGATAGCATACATGACAATGATACATATAATATTTGATAGCATATAATATCTGATAGCATACATGACAATGATACATATAATATTTGATAGCATATAATATCTGATAGCATACATGACAATAATACATATAATATTTGATAGCATATAATATCTGATAGCATACATGACAATGATACATATAATATTTGATAGCATATAATATCTGATAGCATACATGACAATGATACATATAATATTTGATAGCATATAATATCTGATAGCATACATGACAATGAGACATATAATATTTGATAGCATATAATATCTGATAGCATACATGACAATGAGACATATAATATTTGATAGCATATAATATCTGATAGCATACATGACAATGATACATATAATATTTGATAAATGTTTAATAAAAATACTTATATATTTTAGTACTTAGCTTTGCATAATAATGTCATACTTAAAAAAAGGAAGTTATGAGGGTTGCAGTACATAGATTGACTGTGGGTTTAGATTTGAGCAGAAATAAAAGGATTTGGGCAGGTATAAAAAATCTAGATATAAAAAAACTTTTATTTTTATTCTATGTCTTTTTGAAGGTTTAATCAGTGTTAATATAAGTTAAATATTCTTTGTACTTGCATAAATCTGTAGGTGCTGAAATAGCTTTACAAAAGTTTTTAAATATTATGTAAGCCTTATATTAGTTCATTTTTTAAATTAACTAATAAAAGACTTACATAATATTTTCAATTCTTTAAAATCTTGAACCTCAGTTTTTTTTTTTATTTGTAGGTAATGATTCAAAGTTGCCACAATAAAATATAGAAAGATTTCAATTTTATAATAAAACAAGAAAATGACTTTTAAAGATATCATTTGTAGGAACAAAAAGGATAGAAATATTGTTACACTGAAAAGAGTTAATATGAATAATATAAAATAATAATAAGAAACTACTAAAAACAAATTTAAACAAACCTATGTCCCAAACATAAGAGTCAAAACACATATTTGTAGTTAGTTTTTGAAATTCCAACACAGAATATGAAACAGCTAATTTATGTGCATCTTCGGGATACCATGATATACTTGTTGCTGTTCTCTTAACATTGTTTGGATCTCTAAACAATATGAAAAAAAAATCAGGATACCATGATATACTTGTTGCTGTTCTCTTAACGTTGTTTGGATCTCTAAGCAATATGAAAAAAAAATTGGCAACATATAAAGCTCATGTTGCAAAGATATTCTAATAGTACTGTATTAAAGTACATTTATTGTATTTTACTGTATGTTTTCAGAATGTTTACTGTACATTACTGAACATAAATAAATATATACTTATCTACTAAAGGTTATGTAAGGTCATATAAAGAAATATTTAAGGTCATATAAAGAAATTTAACCCATTTATAAATAGTTGCTAATATTAGTCTATTATCTATTTTTTTTTATTATTATTTCAATATTATAGGTAACAGGTGAAGCTTCTAGTGTCTAATAAAATAGACATAATTAAAACTAAAACAGATATTAAAACAGATATTAAGGCCTCAAAAATTCGTTCTGAAGATATATTAACACCAGAAATACCATATAAAATTATTACATAATTATTATATACATGCTAAAATATATAAATAATAAAACTATATATAAATAATATATTTACACCGGCTGGTATGAACTAACAAGTTTTTTAACTATTTAATATCTGTTCTTATTTTTAACTTTTCATAATTTAACATACTATTTTAATAACTAGTTTATAAAGCCAATAATAATATCAGTTCAATCAATATTTATTTTGTAATATTTGATTTTTTTTTAACACATATTTATTTATATAATTGACTTTAGTTTGGTTTGCAACCAGAGGTGTAGTCCAGACTGAAAGGCCAAGACCAAGATATTTAGGTCCAAGACCAAGACTTAAGACTTTAAGACCAATATCAAGACATCAAAAAGATGAAGACCTGTATCACTTGATTTCATAACTTATATAACACATTTTTTTTTTGACATTCTAGTTATCAAAAAACATGTAAATATTTTTAATAAAAATACAATAATTTTTATTCTTGACATGTTTTTAGCTACATGCTACATTTTCAAAAGATATAATAAAACATACAATTAAAACTCTGGCATATAAAATTTAAATCTAAAGACATTATATTTTATTTTTATTTTTTCCTGGGTTTCATTTATATTCAAGTGCACTATTTTTTTATATCTACTTTATTTTACACATTGTAAATTTATAATATTAGGCCTTGAGCCTGTCAATAAATATTATTGATTGATTGATTACAGAGAAAAAATAACAGACAAAAATCTTGTTAAAAACCAATAAAAATTATAAAAATACAAATCATGACACAATAAATGGCCAAAAAAAAAATCTTTACAACACAAAAATATAAAAAGCTCAAATGTTTTGAAAAAGATGTTTACAGAAAAACTTATTCTGTTTGTTCAAAAACAGCAAGACTTTAGCTCTACCTAAAATGCACAAAATCAGTAAAGATTTTTTATAAATACTTTCAAGGATGACATTATTTTTTAAATACTTTCAAGGATGACATTATTTTTTAAATACTTTCAAGGACATTATTGCTATTTTAGAGATTATAGCTCTGGAATTTTATAAACAATATAAAAACTTTAAAACTGATAAACAATATAAAAACTTTAAATATCATTCATAACCTAAAAAACTTTTTAAGAATTTGGATACTGCCTTACTAAAAGCAAATTAAAAATAAAAGAAGCAGCTCATATTAAAGGAAAAAAATCCTTCTTTAAATAAACAAACATCTATTTGGTTATTTACTGCTTCATAATTTGCAATATAATTTTTATTGGTTTATAACAGGCATTTTGTCATTTTAATCTTCTCATTTCTAATCGAAAGAAGGCAAACTTATTACTGAAAATGTCACTTAACTTTATTCGGAAAACTAGGTGAAAAAATTGCTTTAACTTTTAGGTCAGATTTCTGCGAATCAGTAAAGTAGTTTGTATTAGAAACTTTTACAAGATGTTAAGAATTCTATGCCAATTTAAAAAATATATAAAATATTATCAGAGGTAACCTGGTAAGGAAAACAAATTGCTTTTTTTTATACCATATATCTAACTTACGTTACATCACTTACATTACCTTGAGATTATCATCATGGATTTTTTACTTCTATTATTTTGAGTTTACGTAACAAAATTGTTTCAAGTTACGTAACAAAACAATTGCAAAAGTATTTAACTCATTCATTAAAAACAATCAACAAAGGAAATTTTAAAAAACTAGTGGCACTCTTCCTGAGTGATTTTTCATAACATTTATAAAAGTTATCAAATTGAAAGTTTTTCCGCAAGATAAAGAGCAACTTTGAAAAATTATTTTAGTATTATTTAAAAACTTTGGCATATAAAATTCGCCGAATGGTCACACACGAGCAGTGAACGCCTGAGGGAAGAAATGAAGTACATTAGAATAAAGGAGAATTATTTATTAGACAAAGCATATTTTGACAGTTGTCAAGACAAAAATAAAGATTAATAGAGGAATATTTAATAATAAATAAGACAGGCTATACAATTAAAACAGTACTCAACAATAATAACAATAAATAAAACTAAAAAAAATTAAAAATAAATAATAATAATATATATATATAAAAATAAAAAAAAATAAAAATAAAAATAAAAAAATGTTTTATAAATACCAATATGAACTAAAATATACAAGAAATACATAACCAGTCAAAAATTTGTAAAACAAAAAACCATTCAACAAATTAAAAATATGCTAACAACAATGAAAGGACTAATAATGAAAAAAAAAAAAAAAAAACATTAATACTAATGTGTAAACATAATTAGTGTAGTGATTAAGTAATAAACATCTCCTCAGAGTCGCGTCTATTATTACTGGCGTTTCGATGAGGATCAGCATTTATAACTAGTTTATCCCGTCAGACAAACGTCTGACGGGATAAACGTCATAAACGACGGGATAAACGTCATCGCCACTTATGCTTTACCCCGCGACTATTCTGTAAATTAAAAAGTTGTAATACTAATAGTATTACAACTTTTTAATACAAATTATTTTAGTATTACAACTTTTTAATACATATTTGAGTTGTTTAAATAAGAAAATCTTTGGTTTGTTGAAGTTTTTACTTACACTCCTTAAGTTTATGCGTATTGCCTTATTATCATTAGGTTGAATTTTTAAAATGCTACAAAACATTAACATTTATATCTTTTGAAATATTTTTGACGAAAAATTGCTATCACAGTTTAGGAGGAGGAGGGGTTCAGGTATGTGTATGTGATCGTTTGTGGTAGAAGGGAAGGGTTAAAAACTGACAAATATAGGGTGATATCCTTTATGGATGACCCATAATAGCATTTACAAGCAAATTGTTTTACTAAAATAAAAACAAACAAAAATTCCAACTGATTTTTTTAAATTAGGAGAATAGAAAATAAATCTTTTTTTTAATGTTTAAAAACAAATATTTATAAAATTCTTATTTTTATTTATTTATGTGTATTTAAGTCAAATAAAATAAGATTACAAAACAAATAAAAAAGCAATAGTATAAATTATAATATTTTATAATATTTTAAGATTCAAAAAAATATAAATTTTTTTTTCTAAACTCTCCTAATTTTTTCTAAACTCTTCTAATATAAAAAGTTCCAGTTAGAACCTTGTCAACAAATTAATAACTACTTAATGACGTAATTCATTTTGTTAATGAAAAAGCGCCAGAACTTAAGTAAAAGTTTGTAGTTTTAACTTACGTTACACAAATTTAAAATAAAAATGTGCTCTAACTAAGAATCATTATTAAAAATTTTAAATGCAAGAACATAACATTTAATATTCTTTTGCATATATTATTAAAAAACTTAAGTTTTTTAACTAAATTTTATAAAAAACAAAACTTTATCATGTTTTTGTTAACTAAAGTTACATAAAAATTGCTATATAATTTACTATATAAGCCGAAATATCACCATTTAATAATAAAAATAATATATAACCGAACATGATGTTTTTAATCAATTAAATATAAAATATATTATTAACATGTCACTTAAACAATATATATATGTATATATATATATATATATATATATATATATATATATATATATATATATATATATATATATATATATATATATATATATATATATATATATACATATATATATATATAAACATTTCTATATTAAAGAATGGCAACTCTCTCACTCAGTCCTCTTCTTTATGTTTATTTTTTTCTTAGACATGATCGAAAAATGCACTGTAAACGTAGCTGTAAGTTTGATCTTTTCTCCCATTGTTGTAAAGTTCTCTTTCTTTTACTCTTTTTTACAAATACTATCATGGCAGCTACTCAAAGGTGTTATCATCTTTAGTTCCATCAACCAAAATTCATTCTTGCTTGACTTGTCATTCAGTAAAGTTGCATTTTTTAATGGTTAATGACTTTTCATGCTCTAAAAACTTTAATTCATTTAGTTTTTTAAGTCTACTGACAACCGCTTCATTGTTCTTCAACTCTGTTCTGTGCTTGCTTCAAATTTAATAGTGGTTGCTTGCAACCTTGTTGAGAGTAAATGGAAAATAAAATCTTATTAAAAGTGAGGACTCACTAGCTCTTTAATAAAGTCAAATATATTGAAAATCATCTAATAAGTGCAAAAAACATGAATGTTGAATTTTGTATTATGAAACAGAGTATTATTAATTTATTTTGTCTATATTTGTTTTTATATTTTCTACAACTCAAAATAAAAAATATTTATTTTTAATAATTAGAAACTGACTAAAACAACTATATTTAAATTTTGGTATTTGCAACTTATCAATTTAGTACATGGTCCTTCCAGTAGCATACTGCCCCCGAGACTATGCAGATCTTTTAATTTAAAGAAGCTTTTGAAAAAAAAAACTATTTTAATATTTTTAAATGATTAACAAATAAATTTTTTATTCACTTGATTTTTACTTTCACAAATTAAATTCATTAATTGTCTGATTTAAAGTGTTAAACTTTGAGCGCAAGTATATTGGTATTTTTTATAATAAAACACAAACATTTACTAACATCAGCTTCAAAAATAATTATAAAAATAATATTAATACGTCACATAAAGCACTTTTAACAAATGTAATAAATTATCTTGTATAACATTTATTGTTTTATTTAAATAGTAACATGCGTGTTTTTCAGAACAAA